AGACTGTTGAAACTTGTAACTCTAAGTGGACTAAGATGTTTCCGGAAGACACTTCCGCATTTAAACATAATGCAACGTCATTTTTATCATATTTCTACACTTTCTTTGTTGTATGATCCATTTGCAATATTGATAAAGTTGTATCATAAAAATATAGTTTTTATTGGTAGTACCATTTTCAGGAAATATTCTAAACATAGTAACTCTTCCATCTCCAAGCCTAAACGACAAGGAAGCATGCCAACCAATAACTTCCTTTAACAATAATACGATTAAGTGTTCATACAAAATGCAATAAAAGTTGTACCTTCATAACTCGTATATTGTATGCATAATACTTTAAACTGACTCATTATTTTATTACATATGAAAACAAATCAACTCAGTCAAGTTAACAGGCTGCAACTTAAGGCCGTATACAGAAAGAAAGCCGAAAGCCGATCGGCGCTTATCGGCGCCGCTCCTTCCTACATAAAGGACAAGCAAAATGTCGGACTCATCGGACGAGGATTTGGTTTTGTTAGAAAATGTGTATTTAAAAATGCGAAAAAAGCTATACATCCTATAAATAGAGAAAGGAAACGTTTCGGAGAATACCATCATTTATGTGTAAAAAAAATTAAATTTGATGATCAAAGATTTTATACATATACAAGAACGACTCAAGAAACATTTTATTACATTTTGGATTTAGTGAAACACCGTTTGATGAAAAAATGGTGCAATTGGCATAAACAACCAATCCTTCCAGAAGAAAGACTTGTGCAAATCTACCTATGCGTACTTGTTTCGTACTACCAACAACCATTCGGTAAGTACGAAACAATAATAGCGCTTAGTTAATAAAAGATAAAGTTATTACATTTATAAAAAGATTAGAACTTAGATTGATTTAATCTAAGGATAATAATTCAAATACAAATTATTTATTATTCGGACAACACAGATCATAATGACCAGCTGACCAGCGCGTGTCGGCGCTTATCGGCGCTGATCGTTTTTCAATGGACCGCCGATAAGCGCTGATCGGCTTTCGGCTTTCTTTCTGTATACGGCCTAAGAGCCCTTTTACAAAATTGCGCCGCTGCCGTACTGATCGGCGCATAGGTAGATTTGCACTAGTATATATATTGCATTTTACATTTTACTGCAAAAAGGGTCAACTAGCCTATTGCCGGTACGAGCACGGCTTCGTTACTTGTAGAAAGTCTTTTCAGAGAATTTTTCGAACTTAAAATATAACTGTAGGAAATGCCACAGGTCATGGTCATTTCATTAAGCGGAAAAATGTTAATAGCTTAAACGCCTAAGCGAAATGATACCTCTAAATTAGTTCGCCGCTCCGTGACACGTAACGCGAGATAACTGCAACATCCGCTGCTGCAACTATAGAATCGGCTGTGAACTACATAACCATCACTCACATCCTGGGCTATTACCAGCGTGTACAACGTTAATCTCATTTCTGTTCTAGACTGCGTTTAAGCATACTCGATTCGATCGGTCATTGGATGGGTGACAAAAAAACTTCTATCTCGAGTTCCTCCGTGCTTCGGAAGGCACGTTAAGCCGTTGGTCCCGGCTGCATCTGCAGCACTGGGCCCGCGTGGTGGGTCATGGCTTAATCCCCCTATTCCATCCATAGGGAAGGCTTGTGCCCCATCAGTGAGACATTAATAGGCTGATGATGATGATACTAGCTTCAATCATGACGACCTCGGTGGCTGAGTGGTTTGTACGCCGGGTTTCATGGCGTCGCCGATTCGAGAGGTCCCGGGTTCGAATCCCGGTGGGGGCAGATGTTTGTGTGATGAACACGAGCATTTGTACTCCAGTAATGGCTGTTTAATATATATTTCTATATAAATATACTTATATATGTACAGTATATGTATTCTATCCGTTACCCTAGTATCCCATAACACAAGCCTTATAGTGCTTACTTTGGGGCTAGGCTAATTGGTGTGTTGGAAAAAAAAAAAAAAACAATCTTGATACATACAATTGAATATTTAATCTACGCTAATAGTAATAGATGAATGACGAATATTTTATGTAAATCGTCTCGTATGACGCGGATCGTAACGTTCCCTTAAACATGGTTGAGCGAAGCGTTTCAAATTCATATAATTTTTATTGCGAACACAGGTTGTTGTTGTGTACAAACATACAAATTATGATGGTTAGTTTATGCGTCATGCTCGTGAACGGGTAATGCTATCTGCTCTGTACTACTTCAAGATCGAAATGTTATCTAATTATACCTAATATATTATTTAAATTTCACTTTATATTTTATACTAGCGGCCCGCCCTCGCTTCGCTTCGGTGTAGAGCTGTGGTGTAGACTACAGTTTTTGTTCTCAGGCTTGTATTATACACAATGACATTCATCTATGATTCTTCTTATACCTGCATGCAAAGTCTCAGCCCGATCGGTTTAAAATTGACAAAGTTTCATACAAACTTCCATTCCCATTTCCATTTTATCCCCTTGGGGGGCAGAATTGATCAAAATCCTTTCTTAGCGGATGCCTACGTCATAACATCTACCTGCATGCCAAATTTCAGCCCGATCCGTCCAGTGGTTTGGGCTGTGCGTTGATAGATCACTATGTCTGTCAGTCACCTTCGAGTTTTATATATATAGTATATAGACTGTACGACAAGCAAGCAAGCAATGAAAATGTGAGTGGACGTTGTATTGGTAGCGAGCGACTTTGATCTATGTAAATGTTGCAACTTCTGTAACATGCTGATGAGTTTCATGCGCCAATTCTTCTCATCAGCGAAAAGATGTCCTGAATGGGTGGTGGAAAAAATATTGGACGTTTCAAAAGTGCTTTCATAAAGTCAATTTGGATAAAGTATAATTTCATTTCAAATAATGTTACATATATTAACGAGGTAACCGATAGCCGTTGGGGTAGACGAGTTCTGGAGTGGAGACCGCGTCTAGGCAAACGTAGTGTAGGACGTTCTCAGGCACGATGGAGTGACGATTTGCGCAAGGTGGGTGGCAGGAGCTGGATACGAGTAGCCCAAGATCGATCTGAGTGGCGTGCATTTGGAGAGGCCTATGTCCAGCAGTGGACTCAGATAGGCTGTTGATGATGACGATGATGATATTAACGAGAAAGTGCACTTATAACCTAACATAACATCGACATCGCATCAAACACTCATAGTTTTATTTGCTTTCGTCTCTCCGAGTCGTCGCGATTCAGTATTTCCATAATATTAGTGGAAAATGTCGTATTCCGCTTTGTTTTGTTTACCTACGATAAGGGATAGTTGACAAACATACCTAATTATCTTATCATATACAATTGAAGGCGTACGAGCGAAAATTACAATCAAACTAAGAATGTAAAGTGATCAAATTTGGTGTTTGCATAGATCTCTGAGCGGAAGACGCTAACATATTGTAAACAAATAAAACGTCCGTGTCTTCTTTGTTGTTGGTACTCGATCACTGTTACGCAGAAAGTCTGAAGAAGTCCACAACTGTTCGTTTCCAGAGACCTTTTATTCCGCGGACAATAAAGTTATGGAATGAGCTCCTTTCCACGGTGTTCCCTCAGTAGGCTTGTTGAAAATATATCGATGTATCGATATATCGATATTTTTTGTTCGATATATCGATATTTTTTGCCGATATATTTTGATTCGATATATCGATACATCGATACAAAATAACCAATATCGAAATTCGTATCAAAAACGATATTTTTTTAATTATTAGCGGCATATCACGATCTAACTATATTCGTATCTGAAAAAATCTTAACTGGATCTCAGATTAATGATATTCAACATATCTATGATCTGTGCTGTATTTAGTATTGTCTATTATTTGTAAATCTGTTTCGCTGGTGAATTGGTTGTGCTGATTTCCATTATATTCTGTGGAAGTGTGGAAATGTGTGTATGACTGTCTAGTCTTGTTTACGAAAGATGGCACCTGAGAGGCCCTGCAATCATTTTCATCATTCGAAAATAGGGTCTATTTTTAGGGAGATAATTTTCGTTCCATTATTATTCCGCGTGTCATATTTCGTGAAATACTGTACTGTCATGTAGTGTAGCGGCAATTTGGTACTTTGATAATTCTTTCTTTAATTATAATTTGTATTGAACTATTATTACTGTACTAGGCTGACCTAAATATATTTTTGAGAAAATTGGTCCGATATATCGATATACCGATGTTTTTTTCGCGATATATCGAAGCCGATATTGATATTTTTTAAAATATCGATGTATCGATATTTTTTTCAACTTTCGACATTCCTATCCCTCAGTACTATAACATGGTCCTCTTCAAGAGAGGCTTAAATTGACTGTTCTACGAAAGCTAGCGGTATGGTTAAGCCACCGGCATTGCTGATGTCAGGTGACCACTAATACCTCGTTTACATACAGCGCGAGTAAGGAGGGAAGTGGGCAGGGAATTGGGCATGACGAGTATGTAAACACGATACTCGTCATGCCACTGCCATTGGCACTCGCGCTGCCCGGCGCTCCCCAAAAGAGCGGTTTTTTGTGCGGAAGTCAAAGGACCGGCAGCGCGAGTGGCAATGCGTGTTCACATTCTGCGCGTCGCTTAATTCGCGCCACGCGTTTGGTGGAGAAAGACGTGTACCTTTTTAAGATCAGCGACCGTCTACGATGGATAGATAACATCCACCATCTTCTACGACGAACTTTCTTTTTTTGTACTTGATATATTTTTAAATTTCGAACATAATTATGGTTTGCAAAAAGACACAGCGCGGCCGCTGTAATTACTTCGACGGTAGGGACTTCGGTAGGGCAGTATGTAAACACATACTTCTCTCAATCATGCCGCAGCAATATTTAGGGAATTATTGCCGGCAACGCGAGGGGCAGCGTCATGGGCATAGTCTAAACGAGGTATAAAAATCAGGTAGCCCGTCCGCTAGTCTACCTTAAGGAAGGAAGGCAATAAAAAGAGAGAAAGGTGAATGTGTTACAAACCTGAGAGGCGGCGGTCCTAGTCTCCCAGGCGGGAGAACGCAGGTGTTTGGTGAGCCGCCCCAGCAGGTGGTGCAACTCCTCGGGGTGCGCCTTCTGCACCTCGCCCAGCTGGCGGGCCGCCGCGCGCCTCGTGGCCGGCCCGGTGCCCGCCTCCAGCAGTACGAACAACCGGTCCAACCTGCACCAGACAAGCTCCAGGTAAAAGTGTAGGTAGCGGCTAAATTCTTGCCCAAAACACAAGAAGACCAACAGACAAGAAGACCTAAATTCGTTGACCTAAACCGAAATTATTAACTAAATTATCTCTTATCTATTAGACAAGTCCGTCCGTCCGTCTGTCTGTGGTGCTGTTTCAGCGGTCAAACCGTAAGAGATAGATAAAGAGAATGTTTAAGTTATTAGTTAAGAATAGTCTGATAAGACTACAAACCGGATTTGAGTAACGTAGCACTTCCGGTTTTCGAGAAATCACGAATTTCAAACGAAACCACACAAAATCTCCGAAGTTCTCAATTAATTAAATACATTTTTTTTAAAATCAGGTTTTGGTGAACATTTGGTTCACTGGTTTGCTAGTAATAAATATTATGTGAATGTATTTTGAATGGATTATTACTTTGAATGTTATTGTTACTTGTTTATTTATTTTTTGTTTTGATTGACATACATTTCTTGACCTAACCCTAGATGTATTTTATAATTGCTTAAAGAATTATATGAATTAATTTAAAAATTATATTTTTTATTGACTAATTTAATTTTTCTATTTATCTTAATTTGTTATCCTATTGTAATTATATCAAATTTTAAATTATTATTTGTATACTTTTATTACAATTTGCAATGCCCTTGCACGGCTCATGTTTTGCGAGCTGTTATTATTAGATTCAAGAACTAAATGTAACCAACATGAAGCAATAAATATTATGACTATGACAAACTTGCGCAGACGTTTTTGTATGTAAAATTGCTGCTGCGCAGGCTTCCTTGTCTATGGTCGGTGCTCACGAAGTTTGTCGGGGTGTACTCGTATATTTCAAACACACACGTTGTTATAATGTTTTAAACTTTCATGGTCAATAACATTATAGCTATTAACGGGATTGTTACCATGTACCTTGTTGTTGCCAAAACCGAAAAATAAACTTACTTTATAAAAAAGTTATTATTGTTCAAAAGACCTGATGCTCAGTGTGGGGGGAGGTGGGGGGGAGGGGGAAGAGAAAGAAGGGAAGAAGTTGAATGTCGAGATTTTCGTTTCTGTAAACTCTGTATTATTGTTCGCAACACCACTTGCGCTGCGGCAGTGTTGCCGCGTTCGGACATAGATAGAAACCAGTGGTGTCGCTTGCAGTTTGCGGTCTGCAGCCCATTCCCATCAGACTTTACCTTTAAGGGGAGCTATATACATAATCAAGCCGGCATAGTCGGTTCGGCAGTATTTGTCGCCCCGTAGTAATTACTGCCGAACATTCGTCTACACATTTTCGATTTTACCACCCGGCTGTGACCCCACTTATGTGTGTAGCAACCCCTACTTCATGCGATTTAACATATTGAAATAAATTAAGTTATTTTTTTCACTTTAAAAAATATTCTTAATCAGTTCTCTCTGTTTTCTGGAAAGGGAAAGCCTAAGCAGTGAGGAGAGGACATTGAAAGGCTGCTGATGAATCAGGTAATTATCAAAAAAAAAGGCTCTAATAATAATATCGTCATGAAGAAATAAACTCACCGCGAGGTCATGATGGTAGCTCTATTCTCGGCTCAGGTTACATTTACTATTCTGCAACAAAAGAAACCTAAATGAAAAATCAGAAACACACACTTTTAGCATCTGATCTATCAATGTCAACTATGACAGAGAATTATATTTCTTTTTAATACTTATGCCAGCATTACACAAGTGCCGTGAAATTATAGCGTGAATTCGCGCCGTGAAATCACGACAGTAATGGTGAGTCTACATTCGCGGGTCACACATACGTTAATGAAACCTAATGCGAAATGGGCGTGGAAATTGCTGCTTGTTCAACCTTTGACGCGGGACAATGTATCAGGGAACAAGCCTTCCCTTTGTTTTCAAACATATCCCTCTTTTCTAAACGCAAATCATCTCCTCAACACCTTTTAATTTGGTTCCCATAGGGGATACAGCACTTAGAAGGTGGGGCGGCTCTGCCTGTTGAGTAAGGAAAGCCGCTGTGCCGATTCCCCGTCGGGATATCGGCCAATTGTGGTGCTCGACGATGCCGGGAAATTCCTAGAGAAGATCTGGGCACGCCGGATAGTCGAGCACCTGGAGGACCAGAGGCTGAACTTCGCAGATAACCAGTTGACCGGCCGGTCCATAATGGACACGGTGGCCCTTCTAAAGAGGTGGACCGAGGCGGCCACTACGCGGGGTGAGAATGTTATTGTGGTGTCTTTGGACATACGCAACGCATTCAACAGTCTCCCCCACAACTTTATCACGGAGGCACTTCGTTTCTACCTCGTGTCTCGGTAACCTGTGCTCCATCGTGGAGGACTACCTGCAAGGCAGGCCAATCTTCTACGAGGAGATTGACGGGCGTTTCCGCTCCCGAGTCACGGCGGCGGGTGTACACCAAGGATCAGCGCTGGGCCCACCACTCTGGAACTATTTATAGATTGTTACACTAATCTGCCCAAAAAACTCCCTCATTAAATTGAAGCTTCCATAGAATATTTGCATTGCAGTGGGATTAATCTATGACATGCAAAAAATATTTTTTTATTGTTTAAAATGACCGTTTAAGTAGCTAGAAACTTAATATTATTTGTATATTATATCGTCGGTGATATTCTGAAACCGCGGAACTAACAGTGTTTAAAACCGCGTAAGGTAGGTGCAGTGAATTTTGCAGGAACGAGAAAAAACTTAATATTTACTAAATCACATGACTTTCTATTGTTTAAACATTTAAATTGTCAAATTATAATATTCTTCTTGGTATTGTAGGCATTAGTTATGTTAAATATGTATTAATTAATTAGTAAATCGACTTTCGCGGTTTTATTATCACAAAATCAAAATGAGTTTTTTTATGTCACTTAAGCGGAATTGTCCGCCGAAATAAAACAAAAGAATACAATCAACATCTTATAATTATTCATTAAGTCAACTTCAGAGTTTAATTTTTGGCACATATTTATCACCGGTACATTAGGTAATCAACAATATACAGGAAATTAACACCATAAATCCCCATAATGTTAAAAAAATAGCTCTTTATAGCTAAGTATGTTAAACAATCATACCTTGTTGAGAGGGTACTTACTAATTAACAGTTAAAACTAAAAATGAGGAACAAAACGTATATAAATATTACTTCCGAGTAGAATAATAATTGCACATTGAGGTCTTTGTTAAAAATGAGATCAATAAAACATTACTTTTTCTTAAATTCATACCTACCAATATACTAGGGTGGCTAGCTGGGAACATTTTTGTTGCATTCTTGTAGTACTGAGCACCACGGGGCGAAGGGTAAGATGGCTAAAGCCCAAGTTTTGATGGGTACTGCATTATGGTTATTACCGGTCTTTAAGCTCAATGTTTACTAATAGGCATTCAATAAAATCATCCTGGGCTTTCGAGATACCAAAAGGACTTGAAGTTTGTATGCAGCGTGATAAAAAGTGATAACGGGTCAGCCGGTTATCAATATCGCTACTATCATCCCACTCACGCATATTGACTAAAATTAATTTGGCCTACTTGCACTTCATTGAACTTGGGTTTTCACAAAAGATGCGCCTACTGCGTAATTTTTAAGCAGCCAAACTAAGATGGATACTCGGAACGTGGGTTCTTCGATCATATTATATATATATATATATATATATTATTACTTATGCCGTAGTTTTGCGAACCGATGGCGTAGCTTCTTGACCTTCACAAGTGCTTGTAACAGCCTAGACTGAATAAATGACATTTCATTTCATATGATTTGCACCTTCGGTTCGTGACCTATCTAAAGGACATTGGGCAAAAATAAGGTATGGACGCTGCACCCACGTCTTGAACTACATTTGTATGAAAGATATTATAGTCATGATCATCTGTGCCAAAGCGCATCAAATTCCATCCCGGGGGTCTTTAGTTATTTTAAGTTAAATAAGTACAAGTACTATAACGAACGAACATTAACGAAATAATGGAATTAATTTAGTTAGTTCGACACTACATAGGGGGCTCAGGTATTATGGGAGTACTTTACAAGGTGCAAGGGTGCCCCCTTATGTTATTCTGCGGCACTATAGTAAATCCAAAAATCCCCGCATGGGTTGGGGTTTTATCAAACATTCTGTTCGTTATACATAGTAAATTGTCTTATTTGTAAAACGGAGCGACCACAAATCACTCAAACTTGTCCACGCTTCGGAGAAAACATGATTCCAGTTCATCCATACTAATCGACAAAACCAAATCCAATGTCCAAAGGGTGTTACATAAAAATCAATCAAGTCACAGGGAGCGCACAATCACAACGAAGTAAGACGAGTAGACTATTTGCAACTGCAAGTTCTTCAACCCCCGTAAACCGTTTTGAGGTGGCTCAGTAAGTGCAAGCGCAGGATGGTCGGCAGGCTTTTCTCATATCTGGTTGTATAGGACGATAATGCATATGATTATGGTTACTAATAATATAAAATAAAGGTACTACAAAATTAATTTATTTAGCTACTTAAATATGTACATGTGTCATATAATTATGAATGACTCATATCTTTTGACTCCCAGGATATTTTTTTACGGTGTCATAATAAAAAAGGCTAGTTTTTCATAGATCTATCGATTCATACTAATTACATTGTTGGCGGAGCTGGGTCTGTTTTGCCCATTGTCCTTTGTTTTTGTGGAATCATCTGGACCACAGCCTGCCCTCTTTTTTTTGATCCAGAGAAATGCGTTATACATACCCCGCCGCTGGGTAGGCGTCGGGGTTATGTGGTACTCCTCCCCCCACCTCCTGCCCAATTTAAGGCTGGCTCAGTGGCTGCTCGGGATGGGAGGGGGGGCTTGCCAGCGGTGGCAGCGTGGAATCCTAACTGGGAATTAAACAAGCCGCCGCGCCGCCGGCCGGCCCGGCTTTTAGCCAGGCCACCTCACGATCGGGGGGATTTCTAGGTACATGGTGGGAATCCCCCAAGCCCCGCCTTAAATCCAGCTCTAATCCAAAGTTCCGTTTATTCAATGATAATATAATTAAAAGCTTAAAAGTTTTTAAACGCCTTTACCCATACCACTTATATCGTACACCGCGATTTCGCGAAAGTAAAATCAAAATGACGGCGGGTCGATATGCCAGATCGGTTCTATCCCTTTTGCGTTCTTTTAAACAAAATTAGGTAAGTAGTAAGTTAATTAAGAGGAAGCTCACCTTGGCGTAAATTGGATTCATTATAATAGAACTTAGTCTATCCGAACTGGCAAGGATTTTGGGGATACCTTATATTGCAATCAATATGACGATACCTAAAATAGATTAATTAGGCTTCATATATACGAGTGGCTCGAAGCCGATGGCATCACAACTGCAGCCGTCGCCACCTTTCGGCGGCAGGCGTCCACTTGTCGACTTCTGCCGTCACGTGGAGACTTACGTAATATTAACATAGATTAATGTATCATGTGTGTGACTTTGTCCCAAGTCTTTTTTCACAAGATCCCCTAAGATTTAAATTCTGCATTTACCAGTCTACCCTGGGGTGTCGTTCTGAATTTTGAGTTACAACATTTCTTCATATCAATTTTGTCTACCCATAGCGTAGGTGTTTAATGTGTAAGGTATGTAATGTGTATACCACATCCACACGCTGCGGCAGATTATACAAAAGTCAGAAAAATATAACTTGCACTTTGCTTAGCGTTTCCGGACTATGAGAAGGCCTTTGATTGGGCTGTATTCAGATCTGTAGAGAGGTGCAGTATCGACTATCGCTACATCCAAGTGCTGAAGAGTTTGTACGAAAACGCCACTATGAAAGTTCGTATACAAGATCAGACTTCGTGATCTATCCAACTGCAGCGAGGTGTACGACAGGGAGATATGATCTCCCCGAAAGTGTTTACCGCTGCGTTGGAAGACGTCTTTAAGCTTCTGGATTGGAGCGGACTTGGCATCAACGTCAACGGCGAGTACATCACTCACCTTCGATTTACCGATGATATATGTAGTTATTATGGCACAATCTGATTCTGATTCACTCTGAGGATCTCAATGAAATACTCAACGAACTCAGCAGAGCCCCTCAACAAGTGGGCCTTAAAATGAACATGAGTAAGACCGAATTTGGTAATCGTTGAGAGCTCTGCACTCGAAATTGTCGATAAATATATAACTGGGACAAATAGTCCAGTTGAGTAAGTCCAATTTCAAGAACGTGGTAAACCGCCGAAATCAACACGGCTGAGCAGCATTTGGGAAACTCCACGATGTCTTGTTCGAAATACGTCAGTGCCTGAAGACCAAACAGTGCATGTTGCCAGTGATTACATACGGAGCTGAGACGTGGTCGTTGACTATGGGCCTCATACGAAGGCTCAGAATCGCATAGTGAGCGATAGAGAGAGCCATGTCGATGTTTCTCCACGTGATTGAATCCGATCGATCGATCGGAGGAATCCACGCATCCTGATGCAGAAAGCGCAAGACCGTTATGCAAGAATATCCCTTGAGGAGGCCTATGTCCAGCAGTAGACATCCATCGGCTGATGATTTTTTTTAAATATATATTTTAAAATATAGATATAAAACTAAATATTAAAGAAAAACTTCAAGGCACATTTATTTATTTATATATGTATTTTATCCCTTACCCTGGCATCCCATAACACAAGCATTACAGTGCTCACCTTTGGGGCTAATTGGTGTGAGAGTGAGAAATATTCATTTATTTATAAAATTCTTTTTTTTATATCATTTCCTTAACCTTGCGCCATTTTATCCACAAATGTAATAAAATGAAAATAAACATTATTCAAGTCGAGAAATGTGAATTCTATGCCCTACTGGTATGAGCGCAGTAGTGATATGAGATATATCACATACAATTATCAAAATCCATAGTAACTTAACAATAGCATGTGATAATTATGATATTGCATATTATTATATTAGGCAGGCTGATATCTCATTGTATACAGATACAGCTTACTGGAGAAAATGATAAAACTCTTAAAGTTGAAAACTTTTTACCACATGCTGCATCTGGCAGGAAAGGCCTTCAACTGACTGCCAACATCACATGCATTAACAATTTTTGACAATATTATCATATAATCTCATTTAAAAATTATTATTGTATGATTTATTAATACTAATCTTAAATTACAACACGTATTGCAATTTTTAAAATTTTGCAAGTGGAGTTCAGTGTCTCAGCCCTACAACAGTAGTTATTTTAATTTGTCAAGGAACTATAGATACCATGCATAGTATGCTACGGGGCAAACAATATTACTTTGTTTGTGGACCAGACTTACAATAAAGTAATAGTGAAAGAAGAAAATATATTTTAGCTGCCAAGCAGATGATGAAGAATGATAATTCTTGCTATGGGACATTGGTGAATTTTGTGTGAAATAGAAAAAGACAGAAAAGACAGTTCTGTACTCATAATTAATGAGGAGCTTGATGGCGCAAGCGTTTGGCTGCGATCGTTGAAGTTAAGCAACTTTCGCAGTGGTCGGTCATTGGATGGGTGATCAAAAATTTTACTGTCTCAAGCTTCTCTGTGCTTCAGAAGGCACCTTAAACCTTTGGTCTCAGCTGCATCTGCAGTCTTCAGCACCCACCAATCTGCACTGGGCCTGCGTGGCGGGTCATGGCCCAATATCCCCATTCCACCCTTAGAGAAGGCCCAGCAGTGGGGACATTAATAGGATGATAATGATACTCTTATACATATTACGATAATTACAACACTTTTATTATGTACTAATATAACAAGTGCGCAACTGTTTTATTGAAGTCTACACTCTATTATGTTGTATAGGTAGCAACCAACTTCTTGAGCCAAACAAATAAACTGCAGAGTTCGTGTAAAATTGCTACTGCTCAGTAGAGATGGGCGTTTTTAGATATTTGAGAAATTCATCATTCATGAGAAATCAGATAAATCTACTTTTCGGTATGGTAACTGAAAATATTGGATCCTAGCAAAATTATTACATAAAAATTGTACTCAGAGTGTAGGTATTGAACGGAGTCCAGTGCATCAAACAAGTTGTTTGTGCCAATGGTAAAAATTTGAACTACACTTTATCCATAGCATTTTGCCATTTTTCTGACATAATTGTTCACCGCTAGCAACATCTCCACCGGCACAGATAAGTTTGTGGCACTGTTGCTATAGTAACATTGACAAAAACAAGATGGCATCTGCATCCAATAACGGCATCCAGTTGCATCGGATGGGCGCATCCAAACCCAGCATCGTAATGGCGCATTGTTATTCTAAAAACACCTACCCCTACTGCACAGGCATCTTTGTGTATGGTTGATGGTCTATAAGTTTGCTGGGGTGTATAACCAAAAGTTTTATGCAACCTATCTGTGCAGACTTATCACCTATTTGAGGCAAATAATAAAATGGCATGGCTCAATTTGTACAGAATAATATTTTTCTGTTAACAAAAAAAATACTAAATATAATAATAAATAATAATTTAATTTTAATTATAGAATAATAAATAAAGAAATTTTTTTGGAGTAGGTACAGTGAATGTTATCAACTTTGCATATGTTTTTATAATAATCAATGTGTACTGTACTATTTGCAAACAATATCAAGCAGAAAGGATATGTGTACTTAATAACTTTTGATATATTTTTTAAAAGACGTAACGGTATGAATGTTCACGACCTTTCACGCATGCTAACATATGGCTGAGCAAATACGATTGTATTGATTAATCTAAATATAAGGTTGTTGTTGTTGCAATCGAATCTCCAATTTTATAAAAACGACCTCTGGTGTCTTTCATATATTTCGATGCAATGTAACAAACACGTAGCGAGCTCTGATTAGTTTTTTGATGTCAGTATTTTTGCCTATTTACACATAGAATTGGAACTATTTTCTCCTTTTTTCATTAGTGTAATAAAAAGCTCACCTAGTTTATGAGTTTAATATTAGGTCACTGCATCCAATCCTTTCCATAGTTGATGCCACACAGAATCACAAGTGATAACATTTTCGTCAAATTGCACAAACAAAAAAAACCAACGCGACGAGAGGAAGCGCATCGTCCAAACTTCAAATATATACTGACAGCCATGCTGCTGATGAGTCCGTCTTTATTGTAGAGTTACGCGCTGATTGGTGGAACCAAGGCCCATAAAAAATAGCTAACACCATTTTCCACCAATCAAAACCCAAGAATTTGAAAATTCTTGATAGCTTGCCAAAAACTCGGAAATTGAAATGCAATATCATACACGTTTAGTTTACTCATAATATTATGATATAGTTACATGGTCAAAAAAACTTCAAAGTCAAATTTAAGGAGGACAAAATTTATTGTGAGTTTGAAATATATGAAACATCTATTTTTATGTCCATTTAACATCGGCTGATCGATATCCAGGGTTCTGTTACAACTTCAAGCATTTTGAGGCTTCTTTATTTTGATATCCTTGTAAAATAATAGTATGACAGGAAGTTTACAATAGGGAAGATGCAATATTTTTATTTTTGTTTTCATTTTAAAGAATTCCATGTAGAATAAACCACAGATATATTAAAAAAATAAAACACTGTGATTTATCGGAAAAAATGCGGTTTTAAATTGACAATTTAAATTTTCGCGCGAAAACGAATCTATGATTGCGATGACGTCACTCCTGTCTGTCACTGGTCGTAATTGTTCGTTGCTGGCTTTAAATTTTCATAGTTTTGCATATTTTTTTGAAAAATTTAAAATGGACTATCCATCAACATCATGTGATCATAACAATACCACTAATATTCCGAAAAAAAACCATGTTGACTCATGTTTTGTGCCAATCTACTTCAACAAAGTTCCCAAATAAATTGTTTTTGACTGGAACTTCTGACCCAAAACTGAAAAAAAGTGGTTTCAAGCTGCGAAGAGAAATGACAATTATTCTCCAAAGACCATTATTCGATGCTGAGAAGATCACTTTGACGTAAGTCGGCGAATATACTTGTTATATGCTTAATTAATCTGCTTGTACGTAAAAACGCATTAGTAACCTACCTAATACTTACAAAACCTGTCTATAACATATTTTTAATTTTACAGTTGGAGAATGACGTCGAAAATTAGATAAAGTTTAAAATGTGTGGCACAATCTTCATATTGGCAGGACTGAACCAAGCTTTGCGTTTCATTTAAAATAACTGTAACACGATAACCTTCTTTACGTACTTTATGCTCCGGAGAACTCGACCTTTTACTGTACATAATTTACCATCTCTTTTAATTTGGACATAGCCGATTGCATTATCGCCGTAAGATTTGTAGAAGCCGCTGAATAAAATACGAAGTTTAACAACTACGATTTTTGCATACCGTAGTAATTTAGTCCCTTTCATTTCTACACTTAAAAACTCTGCACTTTGGACAAAAAAAGTTATAACCACGTCAACGCTAACTCTTGGTAAATTCCTGGAGTCTGCTTTGATAAACGCAACTTCCATTTTTATTAAATGTAAAAAAACGCAATAAATATTCCCATAAAATAATATTTACTTTAACAACCATAACCTCAAAGAAGTTGTCATAACAGGAGTGACGTCACTAAACACTGATTGGTGTTTTAAAATACGTTCCGTTTCAAGTATTTTTAATTCGTAATAATTGTTAAAAAACAACATTATGTAAAATAAAAACGTTGCAGTGGCATTTCTTTTATATTTTTTTAACATTTTAATCATAAAATTTTCATAAATATTATATATGCATCTTCCCTATTAGCTTTATTTATTAAATCAGGTTTAATCAATAAAATTTTTAGAATAACAAAACGCACTTGAAATGTCATTTACAGCTGTTTGCCAAAGCATGTGTCAAATTGACAATTTCTAGAGGTTAGAATTTAGTGTTAACGTGAGGAACGACTTGAGATTGTTTATTTACACCTAACTAAAAAAAGTACATATAATAAGAGTTCAAAATGGGAAAAAGGAAAAATAAAAATCAAGAACGAAAGAAAAAAGTTACTTTAGTTTTCGACGAAAACAAAAGAAAGTTGGTAATTCAATAATAATGTATGTGATTTTCCTAAAATAAGTCGCTTAATTTTTTAAAAATTACAGGGATTTCCTTTGTGGGTTTCGTAAACGGAAGTTAGAGAGAAAGAAGAAAGCACAAGAAGAACTACAACGTATGTTAAAAGAAGAAAAGAAAAGAATAAAACTAGAGGTAAAAAACTGCTTGAATTTATACTAAAATAAACGTATTTCGTTCAGGAACATTGAACAACCTACATTTATTTATCGCTAACTAATGCTGGTTTTCAGAACAAGGAAGCTTATAAAAAACTGGTAGTATCTTCACGCCCCATTCCAGATATTGAACAGCTGTTACAGGAAGAGTATGAAGATGAGGATGTTAATGTTAAAATAGTAGAATTATCTACAGACACACTTCAGAAGAAAGACTTAGTTATTGGGGAGAATAAACCTAAGGATGCTACAGTAAAAAATAATATTACAGATAAGAATAAAAAAGACAATGCTCAAGTCATTCCAGGGATGGCTTCTGATACAGAAAATGGAATGGATGAATCTGATGTGGAAGAAAATAATGAAAAAGAAATTAAAACTAAGAAAGAGATAAAGAAAATTCTAAAAAAACAAGCTACTAAAAAGATTCAGAAAAGCAAAGTATTTCAAATGAAGAGTAAATTGGATAGAGTGAAGAATAAGAAGAAATCTCAACAAAAGAAAAGTCGGATGAACACAAAATCTCAGCCTGGTAAAGACAAGTCTAAAAAGAAAACTGGTAGAAGAAAGCATTAAAACAATTGGATAACCATTAAGTTTTTTATTTTAATATCACATAATGTAATCAATTAATATTATCAAAAATCAACTTAATTATTTTTATAACAACCTTAATCCCGACAGAAAACAAAAATACTTCACGATTATTTGTTTGTAGCTGTAGGTTTCTTTGTTTCTGATTTAATATTCTTCACTGATCTTTCTATTTCGTGGGGATTTCTTTTCCACAGGTGATTTCTTGGAGAGTTCCCCGCCAATGTCAACATCCAATTTATTGCTTGGACTTTTGGAAGCCTCCCTTGCCTTTTTAGTTTCTGGTTTGTAATTACAAATTGTATTAAGCTGTTGCGCATCTTTGTTTCGAGGAGATTTCCTTTTGACAGGTGATTTCTTGGAAAGTTCTGTACAAACATCAACCTCTAATTTATTTCTTGGGCTTTTAGAAGACTCCCTTTGCTTTTTAGTTTCTATCAATGGTTTGCTATCAATAACTGTATTAACAAGTTGTTCATCTTTGTTTTGAGGAGATTTCCTTTTGACAGGTGATTTCTTAGGAAGTAGCCTAGAAACATCAACCTCTAATTTATTTCTTGGACTTTTAGAAGACTCCCTTTGCTTTTTAGTTTCTATCAATGGTTTGCTATCAATAACTGTATTAACAAGTTGTTCATCTTTGTTTTGAGGAGATTTCCTTTTGACAGGTGATTTCTTAGGAAGTTCCCTACAAACATCAACCTCTAATTTATTTCTTGGACTTTTGGAAGCCTCCCTCTGCTTTATAGTTTCTGGTTTGATATTAGTAGTTTTACTTAACTGTGATTCATATTTAATTCGAGGAGATTGCTTTTGCACATGTGATTTTATGGTGGGTTCCTCTTTAACATCAACCTCTAATTTTTTTCTTGGACTTCTAATCTTAGGTTGTAGGGCATTATCAATCTCATTAGTTACTGATTTTGGTTCTGTTTTGATAGGTGACTTTTTAGGTGATTTTCTGCCTTGACCACTTGATGGACAAATATCTCTGTTTAAGCACTCATTGCAGATAGGGTTAATTGGCAAACATATTGTCTGTCCAAATCCTACCATAAGATGATTGACTTCACTCCACAACTCAAAAGGTAACCATGTTTGTAGAGCTTTTCTGGTGTCTTCTGGTGTTGCAGTGGGCTTTCTTACCCAACCAATCCTGTTGCTGATTCTATGCACATGAGTATCAACCCCTAAAATGAAAACATAATATTAAAAGATGGCAAATGAAATAGAAATCTATAAAGTTTTTTTTTGTGAATTTACCAATTCCTGTAACTTTATTCCAGGCAACTTGCATGCAGATATGAGCCATCTTGGGGCCTACACCAGTAAGTTTGCAAAGTTTATCTGCAGAATCTGGTATATCTCCTTTGTATTGATCTTTTAATGTTTGGGTCGTTTTCTTTATGTATTTCACCTTTGTCTGTAACAAATATCAAGGATGTTTGTATTATAAAATATCCAATAATACACAATGATATACAATTATATTTTTTTTATACCTTCCAAAATCCAACAGGGTATATCAATTGTCCCAATTCCTCATCACTCATTGCAAGCACATTGTCTACAGTCAAACCCTTTGCTCGGAGACGTTCCATAGCTGCAAATGTCACTTGATCTTTGGTTTGACTCGACAACATTAAAGCTATAAGACTTTGATACCGCATCACCTGTAAATATTTCAAAAGATACAACAATGTAATGGTACATTTTTATAAAAACACATGATTAAATTTCAAAAGGTATTACTACCTACTGAAAAATTACCTCTGGAGGTGCGTTCTCATCCATAGCCTTGTGACAACCCATAGTGTCCACAGGCGCATCATTATTTGACCTCATTATCTTTAAGTTTACTAAAAAATCCTTCCAGTTTTGTGGTTCCCACAGTCCTTTTCTTTCCTAAACATATCAATATAATTAACTAGTTGCAACTATATACTATTATAACAGAGTACAGCTCATTTCAATTAAAATTTATTTATCACAATAAAATTTTGATCCTACCTCTTGATCCTCTTTGTCACAAGAATTCTTTTCATATTCTATTGTAATATGTGGTTTCTTTTGAAACTTAAATTCATTTAAAGCAAGCAACTTACTTGCTGTTGGTTCTGAAATATTCTTATCTTTACCGGTTTCTTCATAATTAGATTCCAGATCATTTGAATTTTTATTTTGAATTTTGGCTAACCCTTGTTTTTTCCCACGATGCATATTATTTCTAATGAAAGTAATAAATAACTTTTGAAACTTATATTATTATTAATGTTTTCTATTTACAAATAATAAATATAAACAATAAACACAGATTTGCTAAATAATTATCCAAATTTTCTCTCAACTATACGCTAGATTCAAACAAAACAGACATAATTTTAGTACTAATCTGTGAGAACAAAACCGACTTCCCAACATCTTCCCAAACAAAACTTTTCTCTATGCACAGAATACATAATCTTAGTAATCTGTGAATACAAAGTACTGAGCAAGTCATTGGTGTCGATTTTGTCATGATTCTCTAAACTTAAAAAAATCGTTCATAGTGGATATTGTGAATTAAATATGATGTGATTTTGTGTTACAACCGTCTGCGCAACTGAAGAATTAGTGAAATATTTAAAATATACGACGCTATTCCGGTCAAGTGGACGTGAGAACTTTATTGTTAGTGTTGACTACCTCACAGAAGCTTATCGGAACAGCCAAATCGATACATTTCGTGCCAAACACTCCAAGTAACATTAGAATGAGTCACACCAACATTCTAAAGTAAAAAAAAGATTAAAATAACTTGTATGGGCATTATTCTCTTTGCCTTCTCTGAAAAGGGAGAATCTTAATTAAAAAAAAAAGGAATTAGAAACTTTTGACAGGAGTTTTTGGCGGGATTTCATGGAGTGTGGTTGGCGTCTTATTTTAATTATTCTTAAATTCGTTCATAGTGGATATTGTGAAATAAAATTGGTGTGATTTTGTGTTACAACTGCCTGCGTAACTGAAGAATTAATCATCAAAATATACGCTATTCCGGTCAAGTGGACGTGAGAATTTTATTGTAGTATTGACTACCTCACAGAAGCTTATCGAAAAAGCCAGCTCGATATATTTCGTGCCAAACACTTCAAGAAACATTAGAATGCGTCACACCGACATTCTAATGTAAAAAAAGGACAGAATAATTTAATTTAAGACTAGGCTGTATGGGCATTGTTCTCTTTGCCTTCCCTGAAAAGGGAGAACTTAACCAAAAAAAAAAACTAAATTTGACATAGCATCCAAGACATAAAATTATTTAAAAAAAAAAATTGACATTGGCTGAACGCACAAACCGACCGTGCATGAGCATGCCAATTGTCATCATAGAGTACATTATATACTAGATTGCTATAAAAAAAGAAGAAGAAGGAGGAGTTGTACATTTTTTAGGTACATTTTTGTGACAATAATGGCAGAATTGTTACTAGATCCTCATATTAGATTCTGGGTCTTTCTCCCAATAGTGGTCATCACTTTCTTAGTTGGTATTGTGAGACACTATGTGTCTATAATCTTATCGTCACAAAAGAAAATTGAACTACTTCAGGTTCAAGACAGGTACATAAAAATAATATTAACTTACGACTCAATAGCCGAACTTGAAAGATAAGTTTTTGATTTAATACTTATTTTGTTTGTAGTCAAGTAATGATTAGAGCTCGCCTGCTTCGGGAGAATGGTAAATATCTGCCTAGACAGTCATTCGCCATGCGTAGACATTGGTTCAACAATGAGGAGACCGGATATTTTAAGGTTCAAAAACGGGCAGCCGCTTCGCAGGTAGGCGCTGAAGTTCTTGATGTAGACATTCTCTTTGGAGAAGTTAATGTTCCACAATAAAACTATGATAACTTTATTCTCAGAATCCTATGACAGACCCTGGCATGATGACTGATATGTTGAAAGGCAATGTTACTAACGTTTTGCCCATGATTGTTATTGGAGGGTGGATCAATTGGATGTTTAGTGGTTTCCTTACAAGTAAGTTCTAGTTATTCTATATTTGGGTTATAGTATAATACAGTCAAAACTGAATATAATGACATGTCAGTTATTACAACCAATTGGCAAGGTCCCGACTGAAACCCTATATAAACAAACATGAGATATAGAGAAATACTGCTTAAAACGACTTACAGTAAAATGAATATTGATAAAATTCATATCAATATTCATCGGCTGTAACGACCCAAGGTTTTACTTGTTCCAGCAAAACAAAATATATACTGTAGGTACTAGATTTTTATCGGAGTAAACTTATTACTTCTTTTTTCGGCATTTTATTTGAAAAAAAGTTTACTACATATGCATACATACAAATAACAACGATATGACTACTTGTGTATATTGTTTTTAACAACTATCGGGCATAACGTCCAAAATTATATGGTCCCTTCAATGTCGTTATATCCAGTTTCAACTGTAGTAGCAACTTATTTCATTCAGTACTGTATATTAACCATGGAAGATGTTATACTGAAGGATTTTACTAGAAAATGTTCAAGAACCATGTATTATAAACAGATAATTTAATTTTTTCTTTGCTAATAAACATCTAGCAGTAAGACAGACAGGAATGACAAGTTAAAATGTTTTTGACATCCATCTCTCCATTTCATTTTTTATTGAGCATGACAAGAAAACACTGCTGTCAAAATTATGTATAAGTTGAGAGAATCATGCAGGAATTGGGCCTAAGTGTTTAGAAAATGTATTATTAAATAATAAAGGTCTTAATTTACAGCCAAAGTACCGTTCCCCTTGACTCTGCGTTTCAAACCAATGCTGCAGAGAGGAGTAGAGCTGGCCTACTTGGATGCATCATGGGTTTCTTCTGCTTCTTGGTACTTCCTCAATGTATTTGGTCTGAGAACTATATATGCCTTGGTTCTTGGAGAAAATAATGGTATGTAAACTTGTTATTCACAGAAACCCTCTTTGTTTTTAGTATTCTCATTAAACAACAATTTTCTTTAACAATAATAAACTTTATTACCACTAAAAAGTCAGCAATGCACACAGTTACATACCTAGTAATTGATTGTTCTATTTTTTTACTTGAATTTGTGTGCTGTACTGATGGGAATAAATGATTTATCTATCTATCTATCTATCAATGCATACAACATAATTTTAGGAACAAAAATCATACATAATTTGCCTAAATGAGGTTCAAAACAGTGTCTACCTTTTTTGTAGTAAGACCATAATACACACATCAAAAGTGTCTAGGGATCAACATATATTTTTGCAATAACTTTTCTCCTGATTGATATTAATTAAAATTTTCTTTAAGGATTCATCAAATAAAGTGTTTTCGTTTGTCACAGTAACGATAAACCAAGTCACCTTTGCATTAATAAAGAAATTTGCCATTTTCCTAATAAAGGGATTTTTGACATTTGAACCACTAACACAAAAGTTCGAAAAAAAGACTGAAATAACAGTTTTCTCTAAAATTTTATTGGGTAACTTAAACAATTAATAATCCGTATTTCTACCGCGAACACTAACAACACAAGAACATCGGTTTGGCATACTCAAAATGAGTTCATCCAAATCACGCTGTGGAATGGCCGCCCATGTTCGTTGCAACAACAAAAAAAGGTCTTCTTGCGACTGGATACCCTCCATATTCGGCAGAGCTCTTCTCTGTAGCATATCCCATGCATGCTCAATCGGGTTCAAGTCTGGCAACTGAGCAGGCCAGGGCAGGACATTGATGTTAGCTGCGGCGAGAGTCTGTCTTACAACTCTTGCGGTGTGCGGTCGTGCATTATCATGCATTAACTGAAATAAGGGACCGATTTGCACTTGTAGAGGAACGATGACGTCTGATACAATCGTCTCAGCATAAATTTGAGCGTTGAGGTTGCCTCTGATCCAAATCAACTCAGTTCTTCCGCCGATCCAAATACCCGCCCATACCATGATGGTTCCACCACTATAAGGATGGACTTCCTGGCAGGATTTTAATCGCTGTTGGCGTCCAGGGGTTCTCCAGTGTCGTATACGTCTTGTATCCGGTCTCATACCAAAACGAGACTCATCAGAAAAGCACACGAAACGCCATTGTTCTTCTGCCCAATTTCTGTGTTCAAGAGCCCATTGATATCGAATCCTACGATTGTGCATTGCTATAGGTGGTACCCGTAGCGGTCTTCGGGAATGAAGGTTCACTTCATGCAAGCGGTTTCTGACTGTTTGGTCGCTAATTAAGTTCCCTGAAGAGTGATGAAGCCTCACGGCTAACATCATGGCGGTTATTGTTGGAGCTCTTCGAGTTAAGATTTGAATGTATCGGTCTTGTCTCCGTGTGGTGCAGCGATACCGTCCTCCATGGCGCTCAGCCACGGTACCAGTGCTTCGGTATCGTGTCCAAAGTCGACTGATAACACTCTGACTTGTATTCAGAGCTAAAGCCACAGTACGTTGCCGGGAACCAGCTTCTATCATTCCCACGGCTCTGAGCATTTCTTCCCTGCTTAAATGACGTCGCCGCTCCATAATAACGTTGGTTTTAATCAGTAGTAGGGAAACAGTAGCACTAATAATGTCTTCAATGCGTTGTATGTTTTTATAGGGAAAATATTGACAGCTGATTTTCATCTTTTACTCGAATTTGATTCACAGTTCCTGATTCAAATTATGAAATGCACCAAAAAGGATCCATATAAATTTATAAAATCATAAATTTATTACAAAGCCACATCTCAATCTCAAGAAATCCGCATAAAAATGCTTGATCCCTAGACACTTTTGATGTGTGTAGTTTCCAATGAACTTACCAAAGTTTTTAAATTTTACAAAATACTGTAAATTGCTTTACTTTTTCTGTCAGTCGTACATAAAAACATTCCTTACAGCTGCTGATCAGTCAAAAGTGATGCAGGAGCAAATGTCAGGTGCCGCAATGGCTATGCCTCCCGATCCAAAGGCTGCCTTCAAAGCAGAGTGGGAGGCATTAGAAATAACTGAACACAAGTGGGCACTTTCCAATGTGGAATCAGATCTGCTCTCCATTACAGAAGACAAGAACTAATGATAGTGTGTTTGCTGTGGATGCATTTATAATATATACTGCAATTTCATTTATTTATTTGTTAAATAGGTATCTTTAAGTAAATGAATTTAGGATATTCTATGTGTTTAATTATTTGCCTAAAGGTTTTCCAAGTACATTGTTGGTTTATAAATGGTGAAAAAAAGGAAAGAGATACAGTTATTTAAAACAAAAAGCTCCATCCAATGAACTGCATGAGGAAAAGAAACAATTGTTTTTCAAATCTTATTTAATGTAAAAGATATATGTACTGAGTATATACAAGACCTTAATTTTCTGTACAAACACTTAAATAATAAATGAAACTAAAACTACATAATAAATGCTTACAGCATTTAAAATGAATCTAAGTAATCGTTAAATATGAATGATATACCAGTGCCCTTATAAACATTGAGCTTTTAAGATAATGAAATACAACTTCATTTAAATAATTAAAATCAATAATCTTAATATTGTAAAAAAGGTGAAAACATATATTTAAGGGTTAAGCTAATTGGAAATTAAGAGCTTTCTTTATCTTACTAAAACCACAGTTAAAGTAACAAACTTGATTTCCAATACATAATTGAATGCACAATTGAATCAACAATATTAAATACCCTAGCTTAGATACACCATGTGCGCTCAAAATGTGTCCCAATCAAGAAGTGCTTGAACACGACTCAAGCACTTCTTGGTTCACAGTCACGCGCGGACCGTTGAGAAGTCAAGATGCCGCGGAGCTCCGTGAAAAAATGCGAAATAAATACTTAAAGTACGTAAAGTTTCGTTTTTTCGACAGGTATTTAAACAATGTTTGTTAATTAAAAGCATTTAAAGCAAATTTTGTTCTAATACTTACTATAAACTGTTTAAATAGAAAATATTTGTGATATTCAAATGCATGCTCGGTAATATAGCCGTCTCTTTTCCTCGCGGTCCGTACCTGCTATATTGATAACAGCGCATTCAGAATTGAACGTAGAGTCAAAAGAATAAGGTCTATATTCTTCTGCATATAGCAATAAGTCGTAAAATTTTACGTGCTTGCATTTCGAACTGTCTTAACTCTTTGACGCATGCTTTTTAATTAAGACCTTATACAGTATGCATTAAAGGTGACTTTCAATGTTTACATAATGCCTTATATGGTTTTGGGCCACGCGATATTTTACGGAGCTCCGTGGATCGTCCAATGTACCTTTTAGACAGGTTTCGGCCACGATTTTGTTTGTGATGTAGTATCTAGGTTATTTAATATCGTTGAATTGAATACCACATCAATTCTCACAAGTGCCATTATATTTATAATCAATTAATCAAGTCACTCATATTGTTATGCATGGTATCAGCAACTTATTGTCAGTGCACTAAAATGTGTATATAAATTAACTATCACTCTTTAATGGCAGTTTAATGGTAGTTTAATGTAATCACTGGTAAAATTTTTGGGAGAAAATTGATAACTTTTTTTCTTAACCCACACCAAGCATGCTTGAACTTATTGACTATTCACAACTAATTAGAAATAATATGGAATACGAACTGCGCTAAAAAGTGGTTCCACGCAAACAGCGATGATGGGATTGGTTGGGATATCGGTTAAACATATTTTTATCCAATGAATGGATAGCCAAATTCATTTGCAGATATTTGATTTGTCAGCGTATTTTGTTTAGAATGTGTGCGTGTCGCGTTAGAATTGAATATATGATATACTAGCGGCCCGCCCTCGCTTCGCTTCGGTGTAGAGCTGAAGTGTAGACTAAAGTTTTTGTTCTCAGGCTTGTATTATACACAATGACTTTCATCTATGATTCTTCTTATACCTGCATGCAAAGTCTCAGCCCGATCGGTTTAAAATTGACAAAGTTTCATTCCCTTTTTTATCCCCTTGTGTGTAGAACTGATCAAAATCCTTTCTTAGCGGATGCCTACGTGATAACACCTACCTGCATGCCAAATTTCAGCCCGATCCGTCCAGTGGTTTGGGCTGTGCGTTGATAGATCACTATGTCAGTCAGTCAGTCACCTTTGAGTTTTATATATATAGAGATAGAAGATGTATGAGTTTGGAGCCATATTTTAGCGGCTTTTGTTAAAGAGTAATGCTTCCATAATATTTCTAATTCGTTTACTATCAATTTAGACGTAGGTTTAAGGTTTGGCCAGTGGTGAAGCGTGGGTCTGAGCTGACAATTTGTTTTTTTTTTAAGTGAAACTTCTTTACGTACGCTTGACTTGGGGGGTAAACTGGCGAATGCGTTACACGTTACGAAAAGTGTTTTCGGGCGAGGCGAACGGCAGTTGAGTGGGGGATATAAGCAAGAGAAGCAGTGCGGGCGCACATTTTCTTTCTCTTATAGCTAGTGTATATATCTTTATATATATAATTCTTCTGTGAGTATGTATGTCACTGAACTTCTCTTAAACGACTGGACTGATTTTGATGAAATTTTTTGTGTGTGTTCAAGGGGATCTGAGAATGGTTTAGATTCACAATTTTTGTCAGCTGGACAATGTTTTTTAATTAATTTTTTTTTATGGCGGTACGAAGTTCGCTGGGTCAGCTAGTATATACATAAAGATGGAGCTAAAGAAGTTTCACTTCAGTTGTGTGGTCATAAGCACACTCGTTTTTTGAGAAGGGTGTGGTTCACTGGTACTTAAGGCAAGGGTGCAGAGGAGTATTTGTTTTAATAGGGACGATGACAGGGTAAATTAAACGAAACTCTATTTATTCCATCAGTTAGATTATCAAAGAAATAACGGACACTTATTACTTATTTTTTCAATCAACCTAAAATCACAAAGATAAAGCGCTTTAAAGTTTGGGAGTGGGGGGCCCGTGACGCCACATCTAAGGTAATAGGCTATTTGACAGTATGAAAAATAAAGTACCAATAGGCTAGTTGACTCATGTCAAATTGCACTATACAAATGTTTATTTCTTATAATTTTTGGTATGAGGAACCTAAATACATCGATTTCACTTCATAAAATTAGAAGATGGCTGTAGTAATTTAATTTAAAAAATAGTTGTTTAGTCTATGCTTTTTAAACACTAAAAACGCTGTCCACCATGATTGTGTCGTCAACATAATAGCAAAACAACTAAACGTCATTGTCGTGTTACTGTGGTTTCTTTCGTCCGACTAAAATATATCTAAAAACTCTTATATCTTGAAGAAAAGTTTCCGTTTATTGGTTTTCTTAATTAAATTAATGCTGGATGCCGGATTTGTGCAAGCAGAAACGACAAAACTCTTTGACTTAGCAGGTACATTCATAACCTTAAAAATTGAAACCACAACATTTCTGGAGTATTTAACGATGTGTTTCTTTATTCTCGTATAATACAATGACAATTACTATATTTATCATGAAATTTATTAAAAATCGTGGTTTTGTAATGTAAATTCAGATATCCTACATGCTTGCGAGTGTTTTGTTTACTATTGTTCCCGTCATACCATAGATAATCTATTGACTAAAATGGCCGAAAGCGTTTTTGTATGTCCATGAAAAATCTATTTTAAAATTACAGTTTTGTAGATTTCTACGTAAAAAAAAATTACAATACATTTTTTTTCGGTATAATTGAACAATTATTAACCATTTAAAACACATTTCCAAAAAGTGTCAACAAGCCTATTGTGAAGTGTATTTAATAAGAATATTAGCAGCAATTTTACTATTCGGAGAAAACAAATCTTTAATAATTTCTAAAAAATCATGAAAAACAAATATTTTTTGTTCTATGGTCACGTGACCAAAAGGCCTGGGATTGGCTAAGACTAAAATGACGTCACACGCTTGCAAACTTCCCGTCAATGTGACATTATTCTGTTTCGTTTGACATTTTGATGACAGTCGTGTGACGTCACATACCAGTGACACGCTATACGTTTTATTAATTCAGTATTTTCACTGTAATAGACAATATATTAATGAATATTCACTTTTTATGGACTCGATAAACATTAAATAATAACGTGAGATCGTCGTTTTATAAAACTTGTCAAAACCCTGTTGCACTCAGTTAAGTTTTGATTAGAAAAAATAAGTGTCCAATACTATTTAATAATCCACCGGATAGACGAAGAAAATAAATGCCCTATTCTTGATGACTGCAGTGGTATGGTTTACTTGGATGAAATGGTGGGGTATGATTCCCCAATTTGATGATAGTGGGTTATTCGAACATAATGTGAGAGTGTGGTTAACACTGATGAAGGTTGTGGAGTGGTTCAATGTGTGTAAGCGAATGAGTTCTCGATAAGCGTAGTTGTATCGTTTACTTGGATATAATGTAGGGGCTGTAGTGTGGTCTAATATGTGTAGATGAGATATTTCTCGATGAGAGTAGTGGTGTGGGTTATAGGAACGTAATATAAGAGTGTTGTTAACACAAATGAAGGCTGTGGTGTGGTTTACTGTGTGTAGCTGAGCGAGTTACTTTTCGACGAGAGTAGTGGTGTGGGTTATTGGAACCTAATGTGAGAGTGTGGTTAACACTGACGAAGGTTGTGGTGTGGGTTATTGGAACCTAATGTGAGAGTATGGTTAACACTGACGAAGGTTGTGGTGTGGTTTAATAAGTGTAGATGAGTGAGTTACTCGATGAGGGTAGTGGTGTGGTTTAATGTGTGTAGGTAAGTTACTTCTCGATGAGGGTAGTGATGTGGTTGACCAGGGTATTATTTCTTGATCAGCTGGACTACGTCCTCGTCGTTGACGGTGTGGTTGAGGCCGACCCGCTGTGGGGAATACTTAGTGCTGGTGCCCCATACGAGCGCGTATTTGAGCTGAGCGGCTAGAGTACGATGAATGGAGTGGCATACGTGTTCTACTGTCACGCCCTGGTGTCAAAACGAGAAAATCACCTTTCCTATAATGCGATTCAACTAAGAATAGGTCATGTCATAGCTGTCAATTCAAACCAAATAGGTAGAGTGAGCAAAAAAAGTTTTTATTTAATAAAACTTATTTACTAACATTAAGTGAGAAACAGCATCAGATTTTTTTAATAACATTTATTTACTTAGATTGAGAAAAAAAACCATCGATTTTTAAGCGCGGCGGAGTGCTTCAAAAAAGGTTCAAAGTTTTTTTTGCAAACCGTACTTTTCAAGCGACATTTGACAGATAGAGGTCATTTTCTTATTTGAATTTTTGGATTTGGCTTTCCTATTCTTATTTGAATCGCATTATACCTTACTTAGAAACGTCAAATTTTAAGCTTCTTCTTCGTTTGATGATGGCTTGCTTAGTGTCTTGTCACAGCAACGCTAATGTCAAGTGATTAGCCATTACTCGTAAGGGAATGCCAGTTGAAAATCAAAATTTGGTTTTATACTCCTTTAACGGCCAGTTTCAACAATCATTTCATAATCAACTTCCATTAGAAGGATAAGGTTAATCTGGTTTAATTTCATCATCAGTGGGGACACTGATGGGGCACAGGCCTTCCCTATGGATGGAATAGAGCACTACACGGGCCCAGTGCGGATTGGTGGGTGCTAACGACTGCAGATGCAGCCGGGACCAACGACTTAATGTGCCTTCCGCAGCACGGAGGAGCTCGAGATAGTATAGATTTTTGGTCACCCATCCAATGACCGACCACTGTGAAAGTTGTTTAACTTTAACGACTGCAGCCAAACGCGCACACCACTTGCGTCATCGTGATTCACTAGTACTATGCTTAACTATTTTGGTAACAGATGACAATGAATATTTTAAAGTATTGATGGCTTATGTTTGTGTGATGAATACGAGCATTTGTACTCCAGTCATGGATGTTCAATATGTATTTCTATATAAATAGACTTATACAGGGCGTCCCACGGCTACCTCACATGGAGGGAAAGTATATTAAAAATTGAAGATAGAATATTTTACTGAAAGAAGACATCATTTTATTTTAAATAATAACTAGAACTGCATTCACAGATTTTTTAAAAATCGCCTGCTACAACTGGGAATCAAAATCGTGAAATTTCGAAAAATAAACACGACATATTTTATGATAACCATCGAAAGGGTTAATCATAAGGATTATTTTTTGCTAAATAACATAGCATTTTAAATGAAAGGAATGTCTTATTACGTGATAAAAATAATAAAGTGATATTCAACTTACACAAACAAATGATGTCTTCTTTCAGTAAAATATCCATCTTCAATATTTAATATACTTTCCCTCCATGTAAGGTAGCCGTGGGACGTCCTGTATATGTACTGTGTATGTGTTCTATCCCATACCCTTATATCCCATAACACAAGCCTTACAGTGCTTACTTTGGGGCTAGGCTAATTGGTGTGAGTGTTGGAAATATTTATTTATTTATGGGGATGAATACTCACCCGCCTAAGAATAAGTCCGTCGTCAAAATCTGGGGGTTGTCCTGGCTTCTTGGTGTAAACACGGATCAGGGATAAGTACTCCCACAGCGTCTCCAGAAGATAGTCCAAGTTCAATTTCATGTTGCAACTGTATTTAAACATACAGGGTTACTAAAACTCATTTATTCAGTCTAGGCTGTTTCAATATATTGTTTTAAACTTTCATGGTCACTAACATTATAGTAATACTAGCGGACCCGACAGACGTTGTCCTGTCTACACGTCTTTAATTTGAAAATTTCAAACTTTTTTTAATAAGCTAAAACATTCTGGACCATTTTGATGAAAATTACCATTTTCAGATCCCCTTGAACACACACAAAAAATTTCATCAAAATCGGTCCAGTCGTTTAAGAGAAGTTCAGTGACATACAAACTCACAGAAGAATTATATATATAAAGATTTGACACTGCGATGGTAGCGCCGTCTGTCGGATCCAATGTAAAACATTCCAAAATCAACAACTACTAATAAATGAAAAATTAATTAAAAAAACATTGTCCAGCGGACAAAATTGTGAATCTAAACCATTCTCAGATCCCCTTGAACACACACAAAAAATTTCATCAAAATCGGTCCAGTCGTTTAAGAGAAGTTCAGTGACATACACACTCACAGAAGAATTATATATATATAAAGATAAGTTATTTACGGGATTGTTACCATGCACCTTGTTTTTAGCGAGTTTTCGATATTTCGGCACTGTTGTAAGCGCCATGATCACGGAGTAACTGAAGTAATTGCGGGTAGGCTGTTATTGGCAGACATATCGGACTACCCTCCGACGAAGTCTTTTATTGCGTTCGATACCCGTACCACTGTTCTCACTATTCACTCGAAACTGTTCTCGACACACAACACTTACAGTATCGGATCGCGACACGACACTTTTTTGATTATTTCCGGTTTTACACATACGAACCACAGGATTCCAGACACTCGAGACTCGAGTCTGCCAATAACAGCCTACCCGCAATTACTTCAGTTACTCCGTGATCATGGCGCTTGCAACAGTGCCGAAATATCGGAAACTCGCTAAAAACAAGGTACATGGTAACAATCCCGTAAATAACTTATATTACTATAGGCTGTTTCAAGTTCTTGTGAAAGTCAAATGCTCCGCCATCGGTTCGCAAATCTACGGCGGGAGACCTTGTACTGAGAAGAACCGGCAAGAAACTCAGCAAGGGCTATTTTTTTCTACCTGTTTTGTTTCATACAGTGTCGTCAATTGAAAGATGACATAATTTTAAAACACCAACAACCTCTTAGGGGATTATTCTACCCATAAAAAGGAACAACTTTTACTATGGGACCAAACGCTGCAATCGCGATAATAAAATCTGCTGTTTCCTTAGATTAAAACAATAAGGGTAAATACGGTACGCTCATAGTAGCATTAAATAAAATATGATCCGACTCAACTACATAAGCAACTCGCGACACGCACACGTCTGTATATAAACATCAATCGAGCGAGCGAGACAGAACTATACGCTTCAATGCAGCGTATTGCTGTCCTTTTCTTGCTTACAAAATGGCGATTACGTAAATAATACGCACGACAAACCGTGATTTTTGAGAAAAAAATGTTTTCACAGTTTTACGAATGAAAAGCGTTGCCGGGGCATTTGATTTTGAACTATTTTTGTTCTTTATAAAAGCATCGAAGGCATTGTTTTATCTTCATAACACAGAATATACGCAATATTGTTATATTGAGTGTACATGCAGCGTGTTCCTTTTTGTTTTAATCTAAGGCTGTTTCATACAAAAGTGCATTAGCTAATCGACTGAAATGTATGAAACATCTGATTTTTTTCGCGATTTCAGCGTTGGTCCCATAATAAAAGTTGTTCCTATTGATGGGTAGAATCACCCCCTAAGATGTTGTTGGTGTTTTAAAATTAACCCTGTATGTATTTTTATTTTTTAAGCATTTAACTGCTAGATGTTTAAATCCAAAGATAATACAAACATCTAAAGAAAATATAATATAACTAGAAAAAAATCCACGCGGACCAGGCAGCAGACGGGACTCGAACCCGCACCCTTCGCAATCCGGGCGAATGCACTGACCAATTATGCTAGCGCGGCCCTCTCACGGACGGCGTCGAAATTCTTCTAACCATTCTTAAACTGCAAGGCAGCGCCATCTCTTCCGCGTGAGGGCCGCGGTAGCATAATTGGTCAATGCATTCGCCCGGATTGCGAAGGGTGCGGGTTTGAGTTCCGTCTGCTGCCTTTTCTAGCCATATTTTCTTTAGATTTAAAGAATTCAAAATTGCTTGTTAATTTCATACCTGACAACGACAGAGTTGGGTTCTCTCGCGATGCGGTCCACTTCCTGTATGGAGATCTGGTCGATCTTGTTGTACACGTAGAGGCAGGGTAAATACACACGATTTGCCAAAATTACGTCGATCAATTCGTCGGCGGTGCAGTCCTCACGGAATAGTACCTTAAATGTATAGATAAAAGTTTTTTTTTAAACTCACACCAATTAGCCTAGCCCCAAAGTAATATAAGGCTATAAGGCTTGTGTTATGGGATACTAGGGTAACGGATAGAATACATATACTGTACATATATAAGTATATTTATATAGAATTACATATAAAAAATCCATGACTGGAGTACAAATGCTCGTATTCATCACACAAACATCTGCCCCCACCGGGATTCGAACCCGGGACCTCTCGAGTCGGCGACACCATGAAACCCGGCGTACAAACCACTCAGCCACGGAGGTCGTCAAAATTTTTATTATGTTGCTATATCATCATCATCATCAGTCTAATAATGTCCCCACTGCTGGGGCACAGGCCTTCCCAATAGATGGAATAGGGAATATTGGGCCGTGACCCACCACGCGGGCCCAGTGCGGATTGGCGGGTGCTAACTACTGCAGATGCAGCCGGAACTAACGGCTTAACGTGCCTTCCGAAGCACGGAGGAACTCGAGATAGAAGATTTTTGGTCACCCATCCAATGACCGACCTCTGCGAAAGCCATGAGCATTTAACTGCAAAAAATTGTCTTAGAACGAACATTTTTATTGTACCAGCTTACCCAGCGAACATCGTACTGCCATAAAAATAGAGGTTGGTGGTAGAAGAGTCAAAATTAAGGATTTTATGTATTTATTAATGCCACAAATTTAAAAAAAAATGTTAGGGGTGGACAACCCTTATCACTTGCCTACTAGCCTGGGTTCCGAACTTGGGGGTAATTACCCCACGGGGGGTAAATTAGCCATACTTCGGGGGTAACAAAGAACCTTATTATTTGGTCAAGTCTAAATAATAAGAAAATACTATATAATAATACTACTAAATAGAGCATGCGCTCTTTCTTGCTAGCGAGACCGCGGGGTGCTGAGTATAGGAAGCGGGGTGAGATTTTTTCCTGATGATGACATTATTAGAGACAAAGATGTAGCGGCCAAATTGGAATTTCTTGGACTAATGATAACATTTTAAAGTCGGGGTAAAATCTGTGTTTTTAATAGGTTACAGGGGAAGCAGTATTGACTTAAGAGGTATAAAAAATAAATGTTGTCCAATCTCAGACCTACTGAATATGCATATAAAATTTCATAAAAATCGGTCAAGCCGTTTTGGAGTGGAGTATGGTAACTAACATTGTGACACGATAATTTTATAATTATACAAGAAGATTTTACTTGTTTTATAACCCAAAAACCAGCTTATAATCTATCAAGTCTGTGTATATACTTAACCATAAAAATTATATCTTACCTCTGCATTGAAAATTTTATATTCATGCAAAATCATTTGCACCATTTTTTCATCTACTTTAGTGAGTTGGCACGTGGAGTTGAATGACAAACCGCCTCCTTTTTTGACCTAACGATAAAAAAAGAACTATAATCATTTTTAGAGAAGAATATATTACTTAAAATGGCTTATTATAGTATTAAGGAATTTTTAGAGGACAAATCTTTGTAAATATTAATGTGATGGAAGTTGACATCAACACATGTTTTCAATTTTTTAATGTCATCTTTCAATTGACGACACTGTTTGAAACAAAACAGGGAGAAAAAAAATAGCCCTTGCTGAGTTTCTTGCCGGTTCTTCTCGGTACAAGGTCTCCCGCCGTATATTTACGAACCGATGGCGTAGCGTTTGACTTTCACAAGAGCTTGTAACAGCCTAGACTGAATAAATGAATTTTGACTTTAAATGGATGTACCTAAATGTTTATTTTAATTTGCATGCCTTGTGGTGAAATATGGAATAAGCTTGTAACGTATTATAATTTAACACCTTTGTATCACCTGTATTTGCAAATAAATAATTGATTGATTGATATAAAATATAGAAAATAATACTTATTTCAAATGTTTAATGCTTGTAAAGGTTTTCATTTGACAATATGGGTTACCTAGAATGTGAAGAGTTGGCGCTGCCTTGCAGCTTAAGAAAGGCTAGAAAGAATTCGACACGGCCGTCAGGGCCGCGGTACCATAATGGTCAGTGCCCTCGGCCGGATAGCGAAGGGTGCGGGTTCGAGTCCCGTCTGCTGCCTGGTCCGCGTGGAATTTTTTCTAGTAATATTTGTTGTATATTTGGAACCATGTTTTTTTTTTTTTTTTTTTTTTCATAATTTTTTTATTCGATTATTTACAATATGTCTTTTTAATTATGTTATTTTTAATCAAATTTCAACATGTTTAATAATATACTGTCCGTGCTCGAGGCTGCTATTTGATACAGCCAGGGGCACGGGCAGAAGTCTGAAAGAGGAAGCATAGAAGGATAGTAAAGATAAAAGTAGGTATACAAGAAAATAGGGAGGTCAAAAACAAAGTATGGAACCATGTTTTAGTGGCCTTTGTTAGAGTAAAGTAATGAATGCAAATATCATTTCTAGTTGGTTACTTGAAATATTGAACACGATGGGAGCACAGAGGCGGCGTAAGGCGTGGGCGACGTGGGCCACCGCCTACGGCCTCGCGGTACAAGGGGCCTCGCTCCTCAAAAATTTTTATGCATTGCTTAAAAGCGAATTTCTTTTTTTTTATTATTTTATAAAATCCAACTCCAGGTCGCCACAGAACAGGACCTCGCGAAATCTGTCTTGCCCACATCAAATTTAGGTCTTGCCCCGCCACTGTGTGAGCAATTTGTATATGTACACTCGCGGAAAGACCCGCTCCCTCACCCATAATGCCATTATCGCTTGCGGTAGCGGCGTAGTAAAAATTCATTCATAGACATGTAATTATCGCTGTCTTACTTTTTCGTATAGCGCTGTCGCGATCACGATGCGGATGACAAATTGCAACTAAAACAAATGCAATTCAATTCATAATTCAATCAATGAAATGCTCTCTGTCTTACTTTTGTGCGGCGGCCCGGATTGGCGCGTCCGACGCGAAGGCGGGGGCGTAGTAAAAACTACTGCAGAAAACCATTCAAAGCATTTGGGTCGCCAAGTGACAGAGCGCAAAATTAATGTATAGATAAAAGTTTTTTTTAAACTCACACCAATTAGCCTAGCCCCAAAGTAATATAAGGCTATAAGGCTTGTGTTATGGGATACTAGGGTAACGGATAGAATACATATACTGTACATATATAAGTATATTTATATAGAATTACATATAAAAAATCCATGACTGGAGTACAAATGCTCGTATTCATCACACAAACATCTGCCCCCACCGGGATTCGAACCCGGGACCTCTCGAGTCGGCGACACCATGAAACCCGGCGTACAAACCACTCAGCCACGGAGGTCGTCAAAATTTTCATTATGTTGCTATATCATCATCATCATCATCATCAGTCTAATAATGTCCCCACTGTTGGGGCACAGGCCTTCCCAATAGATGGAATAGGGAATATTGGGCCGTGACCCACCACGCGGGCCCAGTGCGGATTGGCGGGTGCTAACTACTGCAGATGCAGCCGGAACTAACGGCTTAACGTGCCTTCCGAAGCACGGAGGAACTCGAGATAGAAGATTTTAGGTCACTCATCCATTCCAGATTCCAGGTCATTTGGGTCGCCAAGTGACAGAGCGCAAAATTCCGCGATAGTACCTTAAAATAAATATTAGGCTTAGGTTTGTTGAGCCTAATGCCGACGCTCTCCAACTCCCTCTCCAGCAGCTGCCGGTGCACATACGGCTTCGTGGCGTCCAGCATCATAAGCACCAAGTCCGCTGTTCTTGCAACTGCTATTACCTTTGAATTGCAAATGAAATTGTGTGAGTATACCACACTAGTGGGTGTCTTAGGCCCATATTATAGAAAGATTCCCAGTGATTGATCTAGTCTTGAGCATAGTTAGAAAGGGATGTCGCTATATCTATATATATATAAAACTCAAAGGTGACTGACTGACATAGTGATCTATCAACGCACAGCCCAAACCACTGGACGGATCGGGCTGAAATTTGGCATGCAGGTAGATGTTATGACGTAGGCATCCGCTAAGAAAGGATTTTGATCAATTCTACCACCCAAGGGGATAAAATAAGGAATGAAAGTTTGTATGAAACTTTGTCAATTTTAAACCGATCGGGCTGAGACTTTGCATGCAGGTATAAGAAGAATCATAGATGAATGTCATGTGAAAGCATGAGAACAAAAACTGTAGTCTACAATTCAGCTCTACACCGAAGCGAAGCGAGGGCGGGTCGCTAGTAGTATAGCATGTAGCGACATCCCTTTCTAACTGTACTCAAGTAAAGATCAACACTTAGTTTTCATTCTGTAATACAGGCCTTCGAAAAATTAGTTTCCTCACAATCTTGGTGCTCCATACAAACTTACCGAGTCTATATGAGTTTTGGAAAATACTTTCTTTGCAAACTCCTACAACATAATAGCTGTATGTGCCAAATTTTAGCATGAGCTGATAGATCAGTCAGTGAGTAACGGTTGCCTTTTAGATACAATATGAATTTTGAGTTACACGAGATACTTAAAAACTAGGAACTGCTCAGAGTTTCTCTCTCAGAATGGATCTGGCACCCGCACAGCGAATCCATAGATTGCTAAGATGTTCGTCTCACTCTAATTGATTCATCATCATCATCAGCCTATTAATGTCCCCACTGCTGGGGCACAGGCCTTCCCTATGGATGGAATAGGGAGATTGGGCTATGACCCACCACGCAGGCCCAGTGCGGATTGGTGGGTGCTAACGACTGCAGATGCAGCCGGGACCAACGGTTTAACGTGCCTTCCGAAGCACGGAGGAGCTCATGTTATTAAATTTTTGGTCACCCATCCAATGACCGACCACTGCGAAAGTTGCTTAACTTCAACGATCGCAGCCGAACGCGCTAACCACTTGCGCCATCGAGCTTTTGTTTACAAATTGGGATTTGCACGTGTAGACTGTTGTGACAGAATATACACAATAGAGTTCAAATAACATTTTTTTTATGTATATAACTACTAGCTTGAAATAAACTTTTTCATTTCATAATATTTCTTCTTTCCATATAACGACAACTCTCTATAACGCCATACAATGTACAGTCCCTTTAGTGTCGTTATAGAGAGTATACACTGTTTAAGATAAGTAATGAAATGACTATTATATGCAAGAAATAGATATTAAAAAATGCAGTATGAGCTCTGACATGATTTTGATAAAATGGTGTTAAAATTTTACCATAATAGTAATTTTTAAAATCATGTTGGATTTCTTACTGGATTCTTCACTAGGACAGCACAAATAATATTTTTATTTATTTATTTATGCACTTATGTGGTTATTACAGATGTAACATAAAAATATTAGATACAGACACATGAACCCTGAAAGGGTATAGCAATGTTATCTTGTTTTCATAAAAAAAATGCAAGTATATTTGAAGAAAACCTTTATTAAATTGCATATAGAACAGTATTGCAAAATATTCAGTTACCTGTCTACCTCTGCCTTTGCCCTGAGCAGCACCTTCAATAATACCAGGCAAGTCGAGTAGCTGTATGTTGGCACCCCTGTACTCAATCACACCAGGGATGCAAGTGAGAGTTGTGAATTCATAGCTGGCTGCTTCTGAATGTGTGTGCGTCAGCGTAGACAGCAGGGTTGACTACAAACAAGTTCAATATTTATCATCATCATCATCAGCCTATTAATGTCCCCCCTGCTGGGGCACAGGCCTTTCATATGGACGGAATAGGGAGATTGGGTCATGACCCACCACGGGGGCCCAGTGCGGATTGGTGGGTGCTAACGACTGCAGATGCAGCCAGGAACAACGGCTTAACGCTACTTCCGAAGCATGGAGGAGCTCGAGATAATAAATTTTTGGTCACCCATCCAATGACAGACCACTGCGAAAGTTGCTTAACTTCAACGATCGCAGCCGAACGCGCTAATCACTTGCCATCAAGCTCCTCTGCGCCATCGTGAACTGGAGAGTTCAATATTACATTTTTTTTTATATGTTTATTAAAGAGATTTGTAATTTTACAATGATAATGTGGCTCTATACAGATTACAATAATAAAAATATTAAATATTTAAAAAACTTTATTACACAAATAGATATCAATCTTATATATAAAATTCTCGTGTCACAATGTTAGTTACCATACTCCTCCGATACGGCTTTAGCAATTTTTATGAAATTTTGTATACATATTCAGTAGGTCTGAGAATTGACTACTATCAATTTTTATTACCCATAAGTTATAAGGGTTGTCCACCCCTAACATTTATTTTTTATTTTCCGGACAACTTTTTTTTATGTTTTTATAATGTGGCATTATAAAATACTTACAACCCTAAATTTCCACCCTACTACCACCAGCCCCAACTTTTTTGGTGGAACTAAGTTCCCTGGGGCAGCTAATAATGTAAAATTTCCTTTAAATATCTATAAATTGTAAAAGTAACATTCTTTTTAAAATTCACTGTCTAGGTGTTCCTACATTATCTGATCGTGATGAAACTCTGATGAATAGCTTGGTGAATGCTTGCATCTTTTCAATCTTCTTTTCAAATCTTCTTTCTAGATAAGACATTTGTTAAAAACATTTGTAGTATGTTGACCTAAGGGTCAAGAGCCTTGGGTATGTGTGATTAGAGAGTTAAAGTACACAGATTAAAATATTATGTATGTCCTGCAATTTAGATTAATAACCTATATAATCTGGTAAGATTTTGTCATGTCTGATTATGATATTTTTCTTAAAAGAGGCTTAAAATCTGTTAAATAAAATTGGATAATCATTAATATCATTTAAAAGATTTGACACATGGACTTAGTCGATTAAGCACTTTATTATCAAATAACATGAATAAAAATAAATTCAAGTGCCTACATCTTTTGTAATATATTGTTCTCTATGTGTTGTTTTAAAACTATGGTAGTATAAAGTGGGATAAGGAAGAAACTATGGAAGGTTTGAGTTAGATGCTAATTAGGATGCAACAGTTAGGTACTCACCTTGCCCACTGAAGGAAACCCAATGAGTGCCACTCTAGCATCCCCTGATTTGAGTACATCAAAGCCTTCCCCTTTATCGCCACCTTTTTTGGATGGTTCTAGCAATTGAGAGCGATACTTCGCTAGCTTAGCTTTAAGAAGGCCCAAATGATATTCAGTGGCTAAAAAAATAATATATATATAATACAAAATGAAGCTTTACGTTAACTCTTCACGAATCTATACTAAAGACATGAACATCAGCTCAAAAAAGAGAGTTACCTTTATTTTTTTGTGTTCTTGCAATTTCTTTTTCGATTTCTGATATCTTCTCTAAAATTCCCATGTTTTTATCTAATAGCGTTAGAATGTGTAACTATGCAACTTTAATTATTGGCACAACAGTATAGTTAAACTATTATTTTTTACGGTAAAATTAGCATCGCGTTCAAATGTTCCAGTTTTAGTAAATAATAGTTTATTTTCTGATGAAAATAAAAAGTGAGGTTACAGTAAAATGCAGCCGTCACAGCAACGTCCAACGTCGCAATGACGTTACTTTTTTTCCAATATTTATGGTTTGAATTCAAGTCTTTTAAGCCACGTCTTCAAGTCTATTCAATTCAAATTAAATAGCTTTAATAAAATTAAAAGGCGGCGGAAAGTATTATTCACATTATCACCACTTAATTCACACAGATCACTTGCCAATAAACGTCGTTGTATACTAGTATACTCTATGATACTAAAGTGACCAGCATTCAAATACCACATGAGTGTATCATGCAATATGGGCAGATGCTGTCCGATATTAAATTCAGCCTTTTCAAATGGAACGGAGTTTTACGGTGATTAAACTGAAGGAACCGTATTTTGTTTTATTGTGGTGATGAAATCGCGGCTAGCAATTTTTAATTGGGCATAGCACGCCTTAGAAGGTATTGTTTTTGTACACATGCATACCATTTGCACTTAGTTTCCTGATTTCTTTTCTACAAGTTATTTCACATGAAATAGACATCTTTCCGTATTTCCGCATAATAGGTGTCCGCAGTGAACGGTACAGGTATTAGGGAACTTACATCTATAGAATTAATCCCATCACGTGCAATCCTATCAGCTATCTCGTTACCTGTAATACCTCTATGCGAAGGTATCTAGGTGAAAGAAACTTTGATACCTTTCTGAAGTAACCTATAAACTTAATCTTTAATATTATATACAATGTAATTAGTTTTATCATGTATGTAACAACTCTCTAAGCTTTTAATTAAGCTAAGGGAATCAGTCAAAATAAGAAAGCAATCTTCGCCCGATAAGTGTCTTTTTCTTGGTTTTATGCCAGAAGATCTCGAGCGTGGATTCAGATTCATATTCATTTATACATTGTTAAAACAATAAGATGGTAACATTTTATGTTAAAATACAGATCCAAACCTCTGAATAAGTATCTTATGGAAATGACACAAGCATGTGCATCGCGTGTTTACCTATATAAAGCGCTTATTCCACCTGACTAAATTTAGACGTCCTAGTTAGGATCCTAAAAAAAAAGGCTAATTAGAAGCTTCTGATTACACTTGACTAATTTAGTTACTGAATCAGTCAGTTACAAGCGCGCGGCGAATTCAGTCGGACTTTTTCGTAATTGCTCCAGCCCTGTCAAAGCAACAAAAAATCTGTTTTCTTGTAGGCCTGGCCGTTGGCTCAATAAGAATAAAATAAAGTAAAAAACGAAAAACATGGGTGAAAGAATATTAATGTTATTTTTATCGTTTGTTCCAAAGATACCGCATATGTTTATACAATTCAATTATGTTACTCATAACTTCTTTTTCTTTTACCGCCGACATCGGACACTCGCGTAATTCGTAATCGTAGACACAACACGTCCTCACGCAGTGACGACACCTGCAGTGCGGTGCGACTGAAGCATCTAAACGCTATTCCACCTTCCTAAATCGCGTTCTAATTAGGATTAAATGATTTAGTCAGTCAGAAGCCACACTTCTTCCGATTTAGGATGCTAATTAGGATCCTAACTTCCTAAATGCTATTTCACTTGAATTAGTTACTGAATGATTTAGAACGTCTGAATTTAGACAGGTGGAATAAGCGCTTAAACAAATCGGGGAGCAAACATGGCGGACGTAGGATGTCTTTAGTCGATACTTTTTATCGATGTTATGTTTTATTTAATGTGGTCAAAGCATAAAGGGTCACATAAATATACTGGAGAAAAGGGTTGAAGGGAGAGAAGAATCTATTTAAATTTCGGAAACAATCAGAGATAATTTTATTCAACGTAAATTAAATTCTACCACTGTTATTAAATACAAGGACAGCAATAAGAAATGGCTTAATAAATTTCACAAACCTTTTCGTTATTCGCCTGCATGTGCACGTTATGATAAAGGCTGGGGTTTATTAACTTTAATAAATCATTATTACAATATTAAACTAAAAGTAACAGAGACCCATTCACGTGGCGCTGCTCTATGAAATGGCATGAAGTAAGCGCGCCGAGCGGGTGCCCGCTCTGTATCCCGCTTAACGCAGCGCACGCTCTTAAAGTATTTTTTTCTGTGAATTTAATAATTTCGTTATATTATATAATAGTTTAAAAGTGTATATAATAATTACCTTAGGACTCATTTGAGTATGATTGTGTGTGCGTGTATCTCTCTCTGTGTATGTGCATGAGTTTGCATGAATGTGTTGAGTGAACCCTGCATTCTATTAGTAACGCATACTTTTAATAACCTAAGCACTACATTCGTTTCACTGTAGTTTTTTTTTAAATAATCAAAGTTAATTGAAACTGTGTTAAAAAATAAATATAAGTATGGATGAAGGTACAAACATTGTCTTTTTTTTTTCAACACTAAACTTAGCGCACTCTGCTGGTGCATTTGAAAACTAATTCAAGTTCCAATTAAGCATCAGCATAATTCGGCATTGTGCGCCACTGAGTCGCATTATGCTCATCATCAATCATCAACAGCCTATCATAGTCCACTGCTGGACATAGGCCTCTCCAAATGCACGCCACTCAGATCGATCTTGGGTTACTCGCATCCAGCTCCTGCCAGCCACCTTGCGCAAATCGTCACTCCATCGTGCCTGAGGACGTCCTACACTACGTTTGCCTAGACGCGGTCTCCACTCCAGAACTAGTCTACCCCAACGGTTATCGGTTCTTCGGCAAATATGGCCAGCCCACTGCCACTTCAACTTGCTAATCCGGTGGGCTATGTTGATAACTCTGGTTCTCTGTCGGATTACCTCATTTCTGATGCGATCTTTCAGAGAAACGCCGAGCATAGCCCTTTCCATAGCGCGCTGAGCGACTTTGAACCTGTGGACCAGCCGTGCCATCAGTGTCCACGTCTCGGCTCCGTATGTCATCACAGGTAGGACGCACTGATTGAAGACTTTCGTCTTTAGGCACTGTGGGATCGACGATGTCAGGACTTGACGTAGCTTCCCAAACGCTGCCCAACCTAGCTGAACTCTTCTATTCACCTCGTCCTCAAAGTTGTTTCTACCTAACTGCAATGTCTGCCCGAGGTACACATATTTTTGAACAACTTCGAGAACGGCACCGTGTATTGCAATCGGTTCCGATAGAACATGTTCATTGAACATGACCTTGGTTTTATCCAAGTTCATCCGTAGGCCGATGCGTATAGAAGAGTCAGCCAGGTCATTCAGCATCTGTTGTAGGTCCTGCAGGGTTTCTGCCATGATGACGAAATCGTCTGCAAATCGCAAGTGAGAGATGCGTTCGCCATTTATGTTGATGCGATGTCGTTTCCAGTTCAGCGTCTTGAACATATCCTCCATTGCATTTCGATTCAATTTCGGAGAAATAACGTCCCCTTGTCTCACTCCACGATGCAACGTAATGGGACTTGTTTGCTGATTATGTACTTGGACAGACATGGTGGCGGCTTCGTAGAGACATCTTATCACTTGGATGTATCGCCAGTCGACTTGGCAACGCTGCAGGGACTCCAGGACAGACCAGATTTCAATCGAGTCAAAGGCCTTCTCATAGTCCACAAATGCTAGGCACAGGGGCTGATTGTACTCCTCAGTCTTCTGTATAATCTGCCGCACTGTGTGGATGTGGTCTATGGTGCCGTATCCACTCCGAAACCCAGCCTGTTCCGGTGGTTGGAAGTCATCAAATCTTCGCGCAAGTCGGTTCGCGATCACTCTTGAGAACAGCTTATAGACGTGGCTTAGAAGGGATATGGGTCGATAGTTCTTAAAAAGGGTCTTGTCCCCCTTTTTAAAGAACAAGACGACCACACTCCTACTCCACACCTCCGGAGTTCTACCTTCGAACAGGACAGTGTTAAAAAGCTTTTGGAGCTCCCTCAGTACGGGTTTACCTCCAGCCTTCAAGAGTTCTGTTGTAACACCATCCTCTACAGGGGCTTTTTCATTTTTAAGCTGTCCAAGAGCAATCTCGATTTCGCCAATACTGACTTCTGGCAGGTCTTCGGTGAAGTGGCGTGTTAATGTGGCTCTAGAATCCTCATTTCCGGGATCGGGTCGAGATGCATGTGATGCGTATAACTGGCTGTAGAAGTCTTCCACTTCCGAAAGGACTGCCGGCTTTGAAGCAACAACTTCCCCACTTGCTGTGGTCAACTTCGTCAGATGGCTTCTTCCAAGAGATTGTATGAACACTTTGGACCCTCGATTCTGCTCGATCGCTCTCTCGATCGAGAGAGTATTGGAGCATCGGAGGTCGTGTCGTACGTGCTTACTGATCTCTTGGTTTAGAGTCCGCTTTGCCGACGAAGTGACGAGTGGGTTTTCACGTCGTTCCTTTATTAGCCCTAAAGTCTCTTCCGAAAGCTTTGACTTCCTGCCCTTACGCTGCGTTGCACATAGTCTCGTACCCTCTTCCCTGAGAATCCGAACCACATTTTCGAGGTTTTGGTTTACGTCTGATGTGGTTTCCACGGCAGCAAATCGGTTCTCCAGATTTGACTGGAACGTTTCAGATCTTGTTATAGATTGGAGCAAAGTAGGTTGGAGCCTGGATTTCATCAAACGGACGCGCTGGGCCTTTAAGTTGATATTCAGAGAGCCCCGGACGAGTCGGTGATCACTACCGGTATTGAACCTATTGATCACGGAGACGTCTCTGAATATGTACCTCTTGTCCGTCATGGTGAAATCGATCTCATTTTTAGTCATAGTGTCGGGGCTTTGCCATGTCCTTTGGGGCTGTTTCTTGAAAAAAGAGTTCATCAAGAAGAGCCCCTGCTGTTCGAGGAAGTTGACGAGCATTTGCCCCCTATGATTTCTGCTTCCAAATCCATGGGATCCTACTACCGATTCGCTGCAATTCTGAACTCCCACTTTAGCGTTGAAGTCCCCCATAACAACGTTGTAGTGTGTCTTAGTAGTGGAGTGGAGGGCCCTCGATATATCATCGAACATATCCTCCACTTCGTCGTCCGAGTGTGTCGAGGTCGGTGCGTACACTTGCACCACCTTGAGGCTATACCTCTCGGTGAGTTTTATAATAAGGTACACTACCCTGTTCGACACGCTGGACATTTCCACAACGTTATCGGCAAGTAACTTATTTACCAAAAACCCAACGCCACCTTGGGACTGTTGGTCTCCCCCGCGGAAGTACATTAGGTGGCCCGATTCGAGGGTTATGGTGTCCTCCCCCTCTCTTCGGACTTCACTTAACCCTAAAATGTGCCACCTAATCTTTCCAAGTTCCACCTCGAGTTGCACCAGATGCGAGTTAAGCCGTATCGTGCGTCCGATGTACCTCGCCAGGGTCAGTCTTTTGTGGTGGCCTCCCGTAGCCCGGAGATTCTTGGCACCCCCCGCCCCACCGTTACCGTGGTCGCCACCGTGACCAGGAATAGCGGGGCTGCCGGGAACTGGGGGCCGTGGTTTGTGTTTCTTGTGCATGAAGGTTTTGCCCATAATCGCCACGCTGGGCAGGCGGGTTGACGATCGCAGAGCGTAGGTTTATTTACTGATGACGCTGCTGCCCGTCACCAGTGAGATTTTCCTCCCCTACGTCGTTGGATGGTTATACCGCCATCGGTCGGTTTGCCAGAGCCTCGTCTGTTGGTCAACAGGGTGCACCACGTGAAGGTGAGGTTGGCTTGGGTTCTTGCAAGTGTATTTAGAACCCCTTACACCCATTATGCTCTGTAATTGGAAAACTAACCTTATATACTGAGAAGAACTGGCAAGAAACATAGCCTGCTTTTTTCTCCGTTTTATTTCATACAGTGTCGTTAAATTGAAAGCTGACATCAAAATTATACACATTTAGATCAACTTCCATAACATAATGTAAAATAGGAAACAATAAATATACAAAAGCCACTAAATATCCAGTAAAAATAAATGAGCAAGTATATAAAAGACACAATGTCCAAGGTTCACTTCAATACTCCTTTTGAGGAGACAAGTTTAATATAACTTCGAAAATTTGCTAAAGGTAATAATAACGGTATATGAAATTGATCCTCCTCCTTATAAAACTTGGTTAAAATCTGAAGGCTAGTCTACATAAATACTGCTAAGATGGCGCTTAAATATAAGGTTTTTGAAAATGGTGTCGATTCTAGCGTGATTCTCTAAATCTATAACTAAATTTAAAATCAGTCTCTCCTTTTCATTCTGTGTAGAGAATGACAAGGATAAACTGATGTCAAATTTAATTTTAGGTTTAGAGAATCACGCCAGAATCGACGCCAATAGCGCATTTTTGTATTTTTTTTAAATGTGATCTTTGAGGTTGGTATACTGTAGCAGGTCCATGACGTAGCAGTCAAATTTATTCTGGACATCCGGTGTCTAAAAAGAACTAGTAAACAATAGTTTTTAAAATTTTATTTTCGATGTGTAACATCTTTCCTCTCGCTTTCCTGTAATTTGTGGGAGTGATTTCGTGAAATGGACGGAAGTGTGTAACAGGAAGTCGCAAAGGGGCGCGCTATTTGATTTGATTTTAGAACATAAAATGTTCAAAGTAGGTTTTATTTCTTTTTTTACTAATATAAGGTGAGGTTTTTTTGATGTATAACATCTTTCCTCTCGCTTTCCCGCAAATTGTGGGAGTGATTTCTGAAATGAGACGGAAGTGTGTAACAGGAAGTCACGAAAGCGCGCGCTATTTGATTTGATTTTAGAACATAATCTTTAAATGGCCTACTGTTCCTTTTGTAGAAGGTTTTTTTTTTACTAATATAAGGTGAGGTATCAAATGTTATACATCATACGCGACTACTGTAAGGCTCGATCGTATTTTTCGTCTTTTTCTGTCTGATAAGTGGGTACTACGCCTGAAATAAGTGATTATAATTATTATAATGTATTTGTTTCTTAGGTTTTCACGCCAACCACTCATTAAATAAAATTATATATTTCAAGTATCTAGATGATACCATATTTTTTTCAAAATTTTAAATTAATATTTGTTACTATAAAAAAATAATTTTATGTGGTACGCTGTCTTTAGCGGCAGTAACCCATGCCGTAATGGCTGCGCGGAGCCCTATTTTCAGCGTTAAATTAAAATTATTAATAATAGAGGCAGAGTTCCGGGAGCTAGGACTTTTTTTTTCGGAAATTTCCTTCTTTATGGACCTTTTTTCCAAATATCGTAAATATTAATAGTTTATGAGTTATAAACAAAAAAGTAAATACGTCTTTTTTTATCTTATTTTGTTAATAACAATTGCAATTTTTTACGTGCAGTAAAATCCTCAGAACTCCTTTTTCTAGAGGTCATTCTGAATCCAATGAGCTATTGCTCATATTTTTAGGAGCTTTATCTCTATTTTTCATGTTTTTAAACTTGTTGACTGGACTCCATTATTCAATCAAGCCATCCCCGACATTTTTTAGTATCGTAAATTCTTATCCACTATTAATAAATCCGGCTTTAATGTCTATTCTGTTTTATCTGAATTAATTTCAAAGTTCATGGCAAGCTTAAATGTTTCATATTTGGTCTTAGTCAGTATTGTGCGAAGACTTTTAAGCTGGCAACAAGCAACAACTACATATTTGACTACTTTTGATCTCGGCCAGCTAGCTTTTATGTATTTTCTTAACACAAAATTTACTCTTTTTAATGGTGATTATAACGTTAATTGTATTTACGGAACAGAGAGACAAAATGTTATTAATGAAATATTATAAAATTACATATTATTTAATTATTACTCAGTAAGTAACTTGTTTGGTATCAGTTCTGCCGTTACATTTATTAATTTAATCAAATAATTTTTGACTTTATTACCTCTATGTTATACCTTAAAATACAACAGGATTAATAATTCGTACGACGCACAGCAAACTCTATCTCTTATCTATTAGACAAGTCCGTCCGTCCGTCCGTCCGTGGTGCTGTTTCAGCGGCCAAACCGTAAGAGATAGATAAAGAGAATGTTTAAGTTATAAGTTAAGAATAGTCTGATAAGACTACAAACCGGATTTGAGTAACGTAGCACTTCCGGTTTTCGAGAAATCACGTGATTTCTATTTCAAACGAAACCACACAAAATCTCCGAAGTTCTCAATTAATTAAATACATTTTTTTTTGTGAACATTTGGTTCACTGGTTTGCTAGTCTTAATATATATAAATCTCGTGTCACAATGTTTGTCCTCAATGGACTCCTAAACCACTGAACCGATTATAATAAAATTCGCACACCATGTGCAGTTCGATCCAACTTGAGAGATAGGATAGTTTAAATCTCAAATTATAGTAGCAATTTTAATTTATTGCAAATTATTACTTTTGGGCGGTACGAAGTTCGCCGAGTCAGCTAGTTTTATATAATTTATGTAATGGGAAGGCGACCATAATTTTTCTGTTTCTAGGGTAGATATCGTTTGTGCAGCGCAATCAGGGAACGTTTTTGAAGTTATACTTCTTTAGCCGCGTTATGAAAAAATTATGAGAGTGAAATTTTCATCACTGTAACACAAAATTTTAACATAATGAAGTTAGCCGCGGGCGCGTTATTTGTAATATTTTATTTTCCAAGTGACCGTGGGGCAGATTTGAACAAAGCAAACAGGGCAGATTTGAACGGGACATTGAAATGAAATGAAATGACATTTATTCAGTCTAGGCTGTTACAAGCACTTGTGAAGGTCAAGAACACAACGTGTTTTAGTTACTTACAAATGCTAATTACATATGGACTAATAACTTAAATTCAGTAGTGATTTTAATTGAATATTTTGAATATTTATTTAATTTTTCAAATTAAAACTGAACTTAATTGACTGTGTTAACTATCCTTTTCCAGTCCTCTTATTATTTTATTGTAATTATTAATTATTTGCATGCAATTAAAAAATATTTTAATGATGCTAAAGAAGTATAACTTCTCACGCGCGTACATAAGTTACACGCATCCATTTTTTTTTATATACCGGTATTTTTAAATTTTCAGTTCAGGCATATTAGCACTATGGAAAGATAAAATGAAAAAAACAACGAAGTCCATTGAAGAAATGGTTTCCGATTATGAAGATGACATGAACTCTATGATTGCAATTTCAGAAAAGGGTTGAAATTAACTTAGTTTCAATTAGTACCTACTGAATGTCATGCCTATGGATTATGATTTATATTAAGTGTGATCCGTAAGACTTAACGTTACTATGTTTACCCAATTTTTTTACAGAAAACGTAGAGCTGTATGAAGAATTCTATGAAGATTTGGATAACAGAATAACAACTGAACAGTCTATGAACATGATTTTTTTTGGACCTCCGATTTCTTTTATGCGTCTTGATACTGAAACTATCCTTCATATTTTCGTGCACACTAAAAAGCATTTAGTACCAATATCAAGAGCTCTACTCGCATGGGATATGCTAACAGGTCTTTGTTGATAAATACAGTCACTACCTTTTGCTTACATGGTAGGCTTAAGATCGAAAGGGTTTAGTTTCTTGTTTTTACAGATGGTAAAACTGCCGCATTTTTACAAGGACGTGAGTTTTTAGCATTTGGGTCTCTTTTAAATATAATACCCGAAGAAGATTTATATTACGTGAATTTTGGTGATCCTTCAGTATTGAAATACTTTTCCAGCAGTGCAATACAATTACGTAGTCGTAAGGTTAAGCAGTACCTGAAAGACTTGATTTCATAATACCGTGAAAATCTGATCAACTCAATCAAGGTTCCTTTTTATTACAGTATGGTATTCTAGCCGCTGCCTATAAGCGATACTTTGGAGATTCTTGGTATAAAAATAGCTCTCAAATAAATGAATTAGGTTACTTGCTATGTGGATTTCCATCCTCGGATTTGAAACAGATTTCGCCTCATATGTTTCTAGATCTAAGTATCGATGTTTTGAACAAACTGGATAAATGTAAACCATATCAAAGTAAGGTACATTCTTTATTATCTCAACTAGTTATTATTATAATTAGAAAATTTGGCACGCGGTTGGAAAATCTATGGTCGTTTGGTGTTGGTATTGTCATCAAAACTTTTTTTGAAAGTAATTAATTGGAAATAGGGTATTTGACAAGTTTTAGAAAACGGTCTCACATTACTCACTAATGTTTATAGAGTCCGTAAAAAATGGATATTCATCATAATATTGTGTATTTCGGTAAAAAAACTAATTCAAAAACTCTTTTTTCGAATTGCCGCGGAAAACGTATCTCTGGACAATATCGCGGCTCACTGGTGTGTGACGTCACACGACTGTCATTAAAACGTCAAACCATACAATCAAATGTCACTTTAACCGGAAGTTTACTTGCGTGTGACGTCATTTTAGGCTCCACCAATCCAAAGCGTTTTGGGTCACGTGACAATAGACAAGAAAACTATTATCTTTATCGTGGGTTTTTAGTAAAATTATGAATATTTTTTCTGTAAAAATAGTAAAAACTCCTGCCAATATTCATTCTAAATACAGATGCTAACGATTGGCTTTAATACTGTCAAATACCCTATTGCATGGAGACAAATTAAAGTCGAAAGATGTTTATCATAATCACTTTTACAGATTTTGTATAATATTGCAACTAGTCCAGACGCATTCGGAGAACCGTACAAATGGTCATCACATGAAATAGGTCGACTAGGTTCTTTATTCAATTGTAAGTTAATTCTTATATCCTTAATTCATATACATATCATTCGACAAAGTATTATTTTGTTTGTTTTTTTTTAGATAATTTTAATCAATATTAAAAGTATATATACCTATACTAGGGCCGTTACAATTTTTTTATTAATCAATTGGACAGGAAGGTGCTATATCTGTAGGGAGGATAATTACAGAAACTATTAATTTCGACATAAATTTATACTTTCTAACGTATCTACAAAGATATTTTAGATATTCTCTTAAATAAGGAAGGCGCAGAATGTAATTATCTAATTCCCACCTAATGTTTTAGGCATTCCGGCTGATGACATTAGTTCTATACAATTAGAAGCTGTACCCTCCATATCTGATAAAGTAATGAAATCGATGCATATAAGGAAGCTCAAGTACTTTACAAAGCAACAAATATTAAGAATGAATCCAAAAGCACGACGTGTATTTATTTTGCGAATGCAACTGAAAAGCAGTCTCGATATGAGTCAAGTTTCAAGACAACGTGGAAGATTTATAGTGGAAAGTAGATCAACAGTCCTGTTTATACTCGCATGCATAGTCACCTTAGTGTAATGAATGACGAACGTTTATTTAAAACAATTTCAGATTTACTTCATGTTATGATTATTTCATACAGATAATAAATTTTGATTTAATTAAACTTATATACTAAGTACATAAACTGTTTATTTTCGTAATACTTATAGGTAGGTATCTTATATCATTACATTCTTCAGATCAAAAATTTTTTTCGTTTCAAACTTCTATATGAACAGAACATTAAGTATATTTGCGAAATTGAAGGTAAGGTACATTAATGCAATTGCAAGTTACTTTAAAGTTTAACTATAAAGGTAGGTATGAACAGAAAAAAAACATAGATAAATTCTTTTTCCGCTGTCGATGTAATAATGTGAAGAAATCAAGGTATAAAAGGTGAAACATATGAACAGAATTATACTTATTTATTCTGTGGTTTTATAATTACTAGGTACATGTAAATAAATTTAAAGTAACACTAAGGTTTTTCTAATTTTTGTTTAATATCAGTTAATATTTTTCGGAATTTACTAAAAACTTTTTCGACGTGTTATGACTTCCGTCCAAAATCAATATTTTTTCTAGTTCTTTTTTCAAATCATTTCCGGTTCCTACTACTTAACAAATCCAAGTCTATTTATAAGAAAAATTTAATAAATTAATGATAACTTGTTTTTTTCTAAATCATAGTATTAATGAACAATTATTTAACTTAATATTGTTATGAAGTACTCATGATTATTTTTAATTTCACCTTAAAAGATTGAATTTGACAATTAGTCGGATCATCCATTTTGTTTACATTCGCCATTTTCTATTTCTCATTTTTTGAGAAGAAACGAAGCGACGTGAGGCAAATCTCCTTTTTTTTCGGAGTCTTCGCGGAAAGTGCACTCGCATTGTTGTTGTGCGGTATTATTTCCAGTTATTATTCTAAGTTATAAATTTATATTGGCTAAAATGCCTCCAGTTAAGCATTACTCTTCTAGTGAAGTGAATCAGTATGAATTATCGTCAAGGTTATTATCATTAACGGAAAATAATACATCATATACTCTTACGCAAATAAATGGACAAAGGATTTATAGGAAAGCACCTCATGCATGGAGTGGGCCTGAGCCGTCGAGGAATTGTGAGGTATGTTTAATTTATGTGATTATTTATAGAAGAGAACCACAGTAGGTACATACTTGTCATATTAAGTAAATGTGAGCGCCAGCGCCGGCGCGGCGCTTTGTCCGGTAATCTAGTAGAGTTCGAGTTACGAGGCCCAGGTACCATGAGATACCCTGATGGTTAAGTTTACGTCATTTTTAAACCTATTTGCTTGCTACGTTCCGGAATGTGATCGTTTAGTTGAACATGCTTTTTGGCGCCTTTTTAAAGGAATCGTTCTGCAGGCATGCTTTACCTGCCCCCTAGCATGAGCGCCGCAATATGATATTTAACGCGTTTTATCACGCTCAATTGTCAAATTACTATGGAGTTAGAGAGTTAGCCGCGATAAAAAACTTGTTGTTATTTGTAGTGTTCATGCTGCGGGGGCTGGTTGGCAAAATTTCTCTGTTCAATGATGATAAGCATGGCATTTTTGAAGGAGCGCGGGTGTGGTTAATGGTTTCGCTATCGAAAAAAGTAGGTACAGTATATCCTCGATATAACTAGTTGATCGTTGATGGTTTAGATTGAATTATTGTTGTGCGAGGTCCATGTACACACGCGTGCATGTATGCTTAAACCTGAGGCCGAACCACGAATTTTGTTAGCTCCGTAATCGTATCGCAATGTCACTGTTTCAATCAAAAGCCTCTATGCCAGATAGTTCGCTAGCAGCTTGTAAACTTGCCCCGTATCATCGAGTAGCAGATGGTAAAAAGCCGATGACATGTGGCGAGTACAAGCTGCTAGCAAACTCGCTAGCTTGTTGTAAACTCGCCCCGTGTCATCGAGGCTAAACGAAACTAAAACAGCTGTCAAAATTCGTTCTTGGGCTTCTGATCGCAACGCAACGTCGCGTCATCTACATTTCTGTATGGCAATAAGTTTCCGTGTCATACTTTGATTGCAAAGTTTTTAAAGTTGCTGTAGGTTTTTAGTGTGTCGCTACCCGTCATGACAACGCCGCGCGCAATGGCGTTTTTTTTTTGTTGAAGTTTTCCCGTTTTAGGGAAGGCAAAGGGAACAATGCCCATACAGCCTGGTCTTCAATTAAATTAATCTTCTTTTTGTTTTTACATTAGAATGTCGGTGTGACGCATTCTAATGTTTCTTGGAGTGTTTGGCACAAAATGTATCGAGTTCGCTTTTTCGATAAGCTTATTTGAGGTAGTCAACACTACAATAAAATTCTCACGTCCACTTGACCGGAATAGCGTATATTTTAATGATTCCACTAATTCTTCAGTTACGCAGACAGTTGTCACACAAAACCACACCAATTTTATTTCACAATATCCACTATGAACGAATTTAAGAATAATTAAAATAAGACGCCAACCGCTCTCGATGAAATCCCGCCAAAAAAGAAAACCAACCCTTACCAAAATTTTACCATAAGTATTTTTTAAATTCCCCTAAATATAAAAATTTATATGTACCTACTTATCTTATTACCTAAATTCTTTCGTTACTCATAAATTAAAACGTTACATATTTAGTTACAGTAAATTATTTTATTGAATAAATACATGTTCCGAATGGAAAATCAAACGAAAATGATCTGACAGGCTGTTAAATCTTATTTAGCTGTTTTGATTGAGGGAAGGCAAAGAACTTCAGTCCATACAGCCTTAGGAAACAACCAACCACACAGTGAGTTCATATTGTGGTGCGTTCCATTCTATGCACAAAACTGAAAGAAAACACTCTTTGTTTTTCGATTTAATTGCAAGTTTTGTCAAAACCCCCTATAAGAACCCCCAAAAATTCCAGCCCCTAAAAAAGTCCGTTTTAACCCTTCTAGCCCCTAAATCTGGGGGCAAAACCCCTAAGTTGGGAGCTGTGCCAGGAGCGTATTTTGAAATCTGATGCTGCGGGCCCTTTGCGATTTGTAACCCCTCCCCTAAGAATTAGTAGATCAAATCAATAGTTCAGTGACAAGTGCCTTTGTATAGCTCTGTCACTCCTTGCAGTCTGGCCCTATGGTAAATATGCCCCTGGTTATTTCAGCTGTTATTATATAGATTTATGAGTATGTTTCATCTTTTCGACAGGTATTCATAGGCAGGATTCCTCATGATTGCTTTGAGGATACTCTGGTCCCACTGTTCCGTCAGGCTGGTGAACTTTTTGAGTTTCGGCTGATGATCAACTTTTCTGGGTGGAATAGGGGGTGAGTTTGTGGTATAATAACTGTCTGAAATTTGAAAAATAGAAATTTCACATGGTACTTGACATAACTTCCTTTTTCTATCATTAGCAATCGCAGTTTTCTAACAATTTTCTGTTTTCAGGTATGCATTTGCAATGTATACAAATGATGTTGAAGCAAGTAATGCAATAAGGATGTTCAACAACTACATGATCAGGCCGTCCTGGCAGTTGGGTAAAGAATTTTAATTGTTTATACATTTAATTTTACAAGTTACAATTTAGGAATAAAAAAATACATTTTTCTACAAATGTTGCCTTATGTTTATATAGGTTGACATGGTCTCATCATTTTGTATATGCAATTATTGTGTACCATAAATTTTTGCTTACTTTTTGCTATTTGCTACTCCTTCTTTACAGCAGTTTCATGTCAACTTTAAAGGTGCTATCCCACAAAGTGTTTTGTCGAGAGCGAGGCCGCGCCGCGCAGTGTTGCCAAACGTTCAAAATTGAAGAAGTCATCTACCCAAGTTTATAACAATAGATTTCTTCAATTTTGAACTTTACCTTATAGTGCCTATATAAGGTTAACTTGATAGTGATCATACATCATAGATGATCATTCTAGCAAGTTGCAGTGATAAAGAGCATAATATGCTCCCCCTAACTACATATCTTATGCTACGAACTTTTGGTGTCCTACTACACTAGTACTACAGGAACAAATTTTACTATTACAAAAAACCTACTTATTTGACTCCAGTCTTTGATAATGGTGGTGGATATGCATAAAAAGATAATTCGCAGCACACGCTTTTTAAACTGGCTCAGTGCTTGATAAGGTGGTGGAATTTGCAACTCTGACCTCTCAAAAGTTGCTCAAAGCGTCAACTTTACGGGAGGGAAATCTTTCTAGGAGTGTGCCCGTCAATCAACAATTGCCGCATATTCATATCGCGAATTCCCCCCACTACTCCGTCGGCGGAGATCGTGCGGCTGTTGTACGCGCTCACGGACGAAGTGCAGGAGGTCCGCATTCGACGCTCGACGGCGTCCTGTGCCGCCATTGTGGAGTACAAGTCTCACCGCGGGGCTGCGATGGCGCGCAAGGCTTTGGTCGCAGCCGCGGCCGCCGCGTGGGGCTGCGGCGCGCGACCGGCGGTCGACTGGTCGCTGCCGCAGTCGCCGCAACTGCTCAAGCAGTACAGAGAGGTAAGTAAATCGATAATCTTTATCAGGCTTACGTCGAATTAATTTAATGCTTTTTAATGCCACTTTAGTGTTCTCTAAGGCCTCGTTTCCATCTGCAAGAAACCTTCTGCTAGAAATGTCCGACAGCCACTTACAAATTGAAATTACGCAGCAACAAAACAGTTTACTTTTGCAAGTTGCTACCGGACAGACTGTCGGACATTTCTAGCAGAAGTTTTCTTGCAGGTGGAACGCGGCCTAATTCTTTTTTATTGCGATGAAAGTGACAGCATTAACTTGAAAGTTAATAGATTTTTCTGGGTGTGGTTGTAATCTGTTCTAAAACTCTATTTTGCTTGAAACAAGGTGTTTTTGTTAATAAAGATGTTGCATGTGTGTATGTGCCAAGTATGACATGGACAGTGTCAAATAGCTGTGTACACAAGGTCGTTGGTATGGGGTGTGTTGGCTTGTTTTGTATGTAACTCATTGCTTGAAACAGCTTGATGGTATGAATGCTGAAACATTGAAGTTATTTCGCATTTTTATCTATTCTCCCTTAGTCATGTTGAAGTCATATAAAGCCGCGTCTCCAGCACGTGTGATGCTCTACACCAGGGATCTCAAACTTGAACTGCTGGCGATCTACCTCAAAAATTTTGAACTACATGTACTTACGATCGACTCTGGGAGGCTGCAAGTATGTGAGATGCAGAGTTGTCGTACATACAGATACACCCCACCTACATACCTAGGTAGGGTGTACCGTAACATATATAAAGATATTAGCTTTCCGCACAATATACATTATTTTAGACAAAAGTTTGGGTAAGGTATAATTAGGTTCTTCTCTACAATATCAATGAAAAAACTCATAGCGAGTTTATTGGTTGTTACAAAACAAAGAGTTACATATGGTATTAAACTTAACTAGGGAGTGACTTTGGATCTTGCAGCGTGGCACTGCATGTCCTCAGCATACTTTTCATAAGATGGTATGGATGGTGATAACCACTGAGTGCTAATCGCAAGCATGATACGTATATTAAGCTAGCAGACCATGGTCACGACGCGCACATCTAACCTACTGGGTATTTAGTTGCTAATTAGTTACACTATTCCCGATTTAGTTGCTCAACACCTGTAAAAGATGCAAGCTATCTGCTAGATTAAGTCTTAACCTAGCAGACCACAATACTGTATCTTCGGTTCTCGTAAAGATATCGAAGTTCTGCAAACGGCATATCTAGTTGCTAATTAGTTGCTGTAGGACAGCATTATTTGTAATATCCCCCCCATCATCCTTTAATTGCCGCACCAGCACCCACACTACCCCCGAAATAAGATAAAATTAAAAAGAGCTCATCAGAGAATATAAACTACGGCGTATTTTGTTGCTAATTAGTTGCTGCAAAATAGCGTTGTTTAAAAAAATTAATTATCAACCCTTAACTCCAGATCATCCCTGCAACCACCCCAGAATAGGACGATATCGGAAAATTCTCGTAGGTGGAAAATAGACGCGGCATATTTAGTTGCTCGCCAAAAACTCAATTCAGAGTATTCTACAATCATCCCCTAACCTCAGATACATCCCCTCTACTAATACTACTAATACTCTTAATTGCGTTTTTGGCGAGCAACTAATTAGCAACAAAACATCCAGCAGTTTTAAACATCTGCATGCGAATTCCAACCATCTACTGTTTTAAGTGAGTAGAGGGGATGTATCTGAGGTTAGGGGATGATTGTAGAATACTCTGAATTGAGTTTTTTACAGGTATTGAGCAACTAAATCGGGAATAGTGTTAGCAACTAATTAGCAACTAAATAAAAATGAAAAAACTCATAGTTATTCAAAATTGCGAGTTTATTGGTTGTTACAAAACAAAGAGTTACATATGGTGTTAAACTTAACTAGGGAGTGACTTTGGATCTTGCAGCGTGGCACTGCATGTCCTCAGCATACTTTTCATAAGATGGTACATAACCACTGAGTGCTAATCGCAAGCATGATGACATATGATTGTCAGTTATTCGATTGCGATATTTTTATCTTCACTTCAGAAAATGCAGACTCGCGCAAGTAAGTTGACCCAAACATTGCCGTCAGTTGAAGGGCGATTTGCCTTATAGTCCAGTCGGAATAAACATGAGACTTATTCTAAGACACCAGCGCTTAGCCAATTTTTTCCTAGATAGTATAGACCCCCCACGAATATGCCCTCCATTTGTCCCCGCTAGAACCCGTGTTTTGTAGCCAGGAAAATTGTTTAAACAAAGAAAAACCGTTTTTTTTGAGTTTTTTTGCTTGTAAACGGGGATTTTGAAAATTTTTTTGAATCAAAGTTGTTCATTAGCTTGCCCTCTACAAAATCAGTTCTATGAAAAAATAACGTGAGATTGTTAGTTTAGCAGTAAATTGCAATTATGTCGGTTTTACGTTTGCAACAATTCAACGTGTTATAATAAACATTTTGATTTCTAAAGTAGTTTATCATGTGGGTAACGCCACTCCCAAGAGAGTCATGTAAAATTTATCGACCTGTGTCGCAAACTTTAGCAACAATTCTCAATCTCCGAAAAAAAAAGTACTTGCCTGTCCCGTTTTTCCCAGAAGGCGCACAGAGGGGAAAAAAATTCAGGTGATTCGATTCACCAAGAATTTTGAGGAATCGATCGAGTAGAAAAAAATCGTTAATAAAAATGTTCGTTTTTGGACGATTTTTTTTTTTTTAAAATTGACGTAGATTTTTTTTTTAAACTAATGTATTTGTATCGCCCACTCCTAATGCAGCTGTCATAACCAATCACTCGCGCATTGCCTACCCTAGTTCCTACCTATCTCCACCCCTAATATCCTGAACCCTGGAACCTCGCCGACAGTAACACATCGCCACCCATACCCAAACGTATCCTGTAGGTATTTCACTGTGGTCTTCCGTCCACCGCACAGTGAGGTTACCTCCCCGAAATTATAAATCCATTTATACGATATATGGATGTCAACATAATGGTGGTACTTTATATTCGCGTGTTCTTATAGTATTTGCTGAAATACGACGAAATTAATAGAATATTGGTCTTTATTACTCGTACTAAGTACACATAAGATTGCATATTATTATATTCAAAACTAGTGGGCTCCCGTGACTTAGCCTGCGTGGAAATAACGGTTTCCTTACAAATTTCCGCCCGCTCCCTTTTTCACCCTCTTGAAGCATGATTTCTTCGATAAAAACTATTTATTCTATGACATTATATAATTAATTAAGATTATTAATAGTATAAAGGTACTATGAATTACTGTGATATGAGGAAAAAAAGATTTGTTTTGTTCTTCGCAATTTCGCTTCTTAATCCGGTCACATAAAAATCGCCCTGCATTTCGCGTATTTTATAGATTCCAACTTCTAACCTATACATATTGAAACAGATCTAAAAAATTAGGAACGCCTTTGCGTTTGTACTATATTTGAACAGAACTTGCTATGCTACACATACCGCGCCACACCTTGAAAGAGATTATACGGAACTTTTATAAGTGTTAATGTATAAAAGATGAATTAGACCGTTCCAAGGTCAATTTTGTATGTTTATGACAAGTTGAATTTTGTTAAACTCGCACGGCATGACGAATAGAAAGCACCATTATAATTATATATATACACAGTCAGGTCATAAGTATTGTCACACAGTAAAAACTTTTAGAATGCTGGCTACAAAAAAGTTTATTGATTTCGAATTTCGAATTGTTCATGAAAATAAAAAAAATGTGTGCGTGTACTAGTGTACACACGTAAGAAGTGAAACTTCTTTATGGCCTTATTTTTCGAAAAATGATCTACATGTAACTTTCCAGAAATTGGTTAAATAAAGTTAAATTAGATAAAGTTTAAACAAAAGGATTTTATTATCATAGACATGAATACAAATTACTGCCTATGAAACTGTTATGATTACACGGCTCAGTAATCTAAGGCACATGTTCCACCTCCGACGATGAACGATAAGCGAGTAGAAACTAGAAACGAATTGGCAGTCCTGAGTTAAAATGCACGCGCACGGCTTTTGACAGCCAAGCCAGCTTAACCGAGCGAGTATCGCTGAGCTAGTATCGCTGAGCGAGTATCGCTGAGCGAGAATCGCTGAGCGAATATCGCTGGACGAATATCGCTGAGCTAGTATCGCTGAGCAAGTATCGCTGAGCGAGAATCGCTGAGCGAGAATCGCTGAGTGAGTATCGCTGGGCGAATATCGCTGAGCGAGTATCGCTATGCGAGTTTGGCTGAGCGAGTCTTATCTTTAATAACTATTGTCACTCAGCTACAAACGAGTAGAGAGAGTTCTCGCCGGCGACAGTGTGATCATTCAGCTATCAACTATTAATATAAAAAAAGATGGCGCGGAACGGAAAAATGTGACGCGTAACCGAAAAATATGACGGTAAATTTTTTTCCAACGCCGATAAAGAAGTTTCACTTCAAAAATGTATATTTTTTAGAATTTTACTCATTTTTAAATATGGAGTGGACGCTTAAAGAAGACCGTGTTGCAGTTATTGCGTTGCATCGTTACGGTTACGCGCCAATTCAAACTTTTGACATACTGAAAAATTTTAATATAACCAAAAGATTCGTTTATCGTACCATCAAACGATACAATGAAGACTAGTGTAGATGACAGGTCAAGAAGTGGTCGCCCTCGGTCTGTTAGGACTCCAGCAGTGATAAAAGCTGTGAAGGCGCGAATTCAAAGAAATCCCAAACGTAAGCAGAAACTGTTAGCCCTTCAGATGGGGTTAAGCAGAACCACGGTGAACGGGGTATTAAATGAAGACTAGGGCTTCGGGCATATCGAAGAAAAACAGGACAGCGTTTGAATGTTCGTCTAATGGATCTGAGACTGAAGAGATGCCGCGCTTTGTTGAAGCAGTACGCGGGAAAAAAATATCGGGAAATTCTTTTTTCGGATGAAAAAATTTTTACCGTATACGTGAGCTACAACAAACAAAATGATAAGGTGTACGCACATAGTAGTGAAGAAGCGAGCAACCGTATTCCGCGTTTGGATACGCGAGGTCATTTTCCATCCTCGCTCATGGTATGGTTGGGAGTTTCTTATTGGGGCTTAACAGAGGTACATTTTTGTGAGAAAGGTGTAAAAACGAATGCAGTTGTGTATCAAAATACAGTCCTGACGAACCTTGTGGAACCTGTTTCGCATACCATGTTCAATAACAGGCACTGGGTATTCCAACAAGATTCGGCGCCAGCTCATAGAGCGAAGAGCACACAAGACTGGCTAGCGGCGCGTGAAATCGACTTCATCCGGCACGAAGACTGGCCCTCCTCCAGTCCAGATTTGAGTCCGTTAGATTACAAGATATGGCAACACTTGGAAAAAAAGACGTGCTCAACGCCTCATCCCAATTTGGAGTCACTCAAGATATCCTTGATTAAGGCAGCCGCCGATATTGACATGGACCTCGTTCGTGCTGCGATAGACGACTGGCCGCGCAGATTGAAGGCCTGTATTCAAAATCATGGAGGTCATTTTGAATAAACTTTATTGTCCTGAGAATCTATGTTTTGTCAAGTTAATTTTGGTATATAAATGGTTATATAATGAATAAACTTGTTTCAATTATTTTATATTAAACATGTGACAGAATTTATGACCTGACTAGGTAAAATTCATCCTAAAACACAATAAATTCGCAATGTCCATTTGCTTAACTCATCCCGCCCCTTTAATGCGCCAGTTATGATGATGATGGTACATAAAAACTAATTTTATTTTAATATATTTTAATAAACGCCTTCATTTTGTTTCACCACCAAGAGAAGAGCCAAGCGGAATAGAAACAAACCATAACATTTTAAAGGTCTAGCTAGACAGACAAAAACACGCGCTCGTAAGAGTTACGGGGTCCTCAGTGGGCAGCCACTGCTGGTGCTCGTAAAGCTTGCGGGAGTGTCTTGTGGTATTTGATGATGAATTTGCAGCAGTTATGTATGTACGTATAGTGCGTTTCAAACTTATTGGTCGCTGTGAAGCTAACGGCGCAGTTATCGAGACGCAGGGCGTTGCAAGGGATGTTGGTGCGAGCGGGATGTGACTGAACTGAAACTGCATTTAATTGCGTTCCCTTCTCATTTAAACTATTATTTTTTTATGATTATTATATAAAGAGAGATTATTATATTATATTTTATGATTATTATATAAAGAGGTAAAATTTTGATAATTGTGACGTTGTACGGGGTAAAATCTGGATCTTTCAAAGCGATTTTAAAAATTCTTTAAGCAATAGGCTATTTATTTGTTAGTGTCGTAGGTTAGATATGAGAACAAAAATTATAATTTTCACTGAAGCGAAGCGAGGGCGGGGACCTCCAGTATTCCCTATAAAATTCGGATGACATGTATGGTACATAGGTGGGTCGTTGGAGCGCCGAACGCGGCGTGGAGCTGTCGCGCGCGCCGGAGGAGGCGGGCGCGTGGTCGCCGCCCCCCGCCGCGCCCTCGTACACGCTGGAGCCGTGGTCGCAGGCGCGCCGGCTGCGCATGATACACGAGGCGCAGCGCAGCGCCGCGCACGCGCCGCACGTGGGGTGAGTACCGCACCAGCAGGAGGCGGGCGCGTGGTCGCCGCCCCCCGCCGCGCCCTCGTACACGCTGGAGCCGTGGTCGCAGGCGCGCCGGCTGCGCATGATACACGAGGCGCAGCGCAGCGCCGCGCACGCGCCGCACGTGGGGTGAGTACCGCACCAGCAGGAGGCGGGCGCGTGGTCGCCGCCCCCCGCCGCGCCCTCGTACACGCTGGAGCCGTGGTCGCAGGCGCGCCGGCTGCGCATGATACACGAGGCGCAGCGCAGCGCCGCGCACGCGCCGCACGTGGGGTGAGTACCGCACCAGCAGGAGGCGGGCGCGTGGTCGCCGCCCCCCGCCGCGCCCTCGTACACGCTGGAGCCGTGGTCGCAGGCGCGCCGGCTGCGCATGATACACGAGGCGCAGCGCAGCGCCGCGCACGCGCCGCACGTGGGGTGAGTACCCGCACCAGCAGGAGGCGGGCGCGTGGTCGCCGCCCCCCGCCGCGCCCTCGTACACGCTGGAGCCGTGGTCGCAGGCGCGCCGGCTGCGCATGATACACGAGGCGCAGCGCAGCGCCGCGCACGCGCCGCACGTGGGGTGAGTACCGCACCAGCAGGAGGCGGGCGCGTGGTCGCCGCCCCCCCGCCGCGCCCTCGTACACGCTGGAGCCGTGGTCGCAGGCGCGCCGGCTGCGCATGATACACGAGGCGCAGCGCAGCGCCGCGCACGCGCCGCACGTGGGGTGAGTACCGCACCAGCAGGAGGCGGGCGCGTGGTCGCCGCCCCCCGCCGCGCCCTCGTACACGCTGGAGCCGTGGTCGCAGGCGCGCCGGCTGCGCATGATACACGAGGCGCAGCGCAGCGCCGCGCACGCGCCGCACGTGGGGTGAGTACCGCACCAGCAGGAGGCGGGCGCGTGGTCGCCGCCCCCCGCCGCGCCCTCGTACACGCTGGAGCCGTGGTCGCAGGCGCGCCGGCTGCGCATGATACACGAGGCGCAGCGCAGCGCCGCGCACGCGCCGCACGTGGGGTGAGTACCGCACCAGCAGGAGGCGGGCGCGTGGTCGCCGCCCCCCCGCCGCGCCCTCGTACACGCTGGAGCCGTGGTCGCAGGCGCGCCGGCTGCGCATGATACACGAGGCGCAGCGCAGCGCCGCGCACGCGCCGCACGTGGGGTGAGTACCGCACCAGCAGGAGGCGGGCGCGTGGTCGCCGCCCCCCGCCGCGCCCTCGTACACGCTGGAGCCGTGGTCGCAGGCGCGCCGGCTGCGCATGATACACGAGGCGCAGCGCAGCGCCGCGCACGCGCCGCACGTGGGGTGAGTACCGCACCAGCAGGAGGCGGGCGCGTGGTCGCCGCCCCCCGCCGCGCCCTCGTACACGCTGGAGCCGTGGTCGCAGGCGCGCCGGCTGCGCATGATACACGAGGCGCAGCGCAGCGCCGCGCACGCGCCGCACGTGGGGTGAGTACCGCACCAGCAGGAGGCGGGCGCGTGGTCGCCGCCCCCCGCCGCGCCCTCGTACACGCTGGAGCCGTGGTCGCAGGCGCGCCGGCTGCGCATGATACACGAGGCGCAGCGCAGCGCCGCGCACGCGCCGCACGTGGGGTGAGTACCGCACCAGCAGGAGGCGGGCGCGTGGTCGCCGCCCCCCGCCGCGCCCTCGTACACGCTGGAGCCGTGGTCGCAGGCGCGCCGGCTGCGCATGATACACGAGGCGCAGCGCAGCGCCGCGCACGCGCCGCACGTGGGGTGAGTACCGCACCAGCAGGAGGCGGGCGCGTGGTCGCCGCCCCCCGCCGCGCCCTCGTACACGCTGGAGCCGTGGTCGCAGGCGCGCCGGCTGCGCATGATACACGAGGCGCAGCGCAGCGCCGCGCACGCGCCGCACGTGGGGTGAGTACCGCACCAGCAGGAGGCGGGCGCGTGGTCGCCGCCCCCCGCCGCGCCCTCGTACACGCTGGAGCCGTGGTCGCAGGCGCGCCGGCTGCGCATGATACACGAGGCGCAGCGCAGCGCCGCGCACGCGCCGCACGTGGGGTGAGTACCGCACCAGCAGGAGGCGGGCGCGTGGTCGCCGCCCCCCGCCGCGCCCTCGTACACGCTGGAGCCGTGGTCGCAGGCGCGCCGGCTGCGCATGATACACGAGGCGCAGCGCAGCGCCGCGCACGCGCCGCACGTGGGGTGAGTACCGCACCAGCAGGAGGCGGGCGCGTGGTCGCCGCCCCCCGCCGCGCCCTCGTACACGCTGGAGCCGTGGTCGCAGGCGCGCCGGCTGCGCATGATACACGAGGCGCAGCGCAGCGCCGCGCACGCGCCGCACGTGGGGTGAGTACCGCACCAGCAGGAGGCGGGCGCGTGGTCGCCGCCCCCCGCCGCGCCCTCGTACACGCTGGAGCCGTGGTCGCAGGCGCGCCGGCTGCGCATGATACACGAGGCGCAGCGCAGCGCCGCGCACGCGCCGCACGTGGGGTGAGTACCGCACCAGCAGGAGGCGGGCGCGTGGTCGCCGCCCCCCGCCGCGCCCTCGTACACGCTGGAGCCGTGGTCGCAGGCGCGCCGGCTGCGCATGATACACGAGGCGCAGCGCAGCGCCGCGCACGCGCCGCACGTGGGGTGAGTACCGCACCAGCAGGAGGCGGGCGCGTGGTCGCCGCCCCCCGCCGCGCCCTCGTACACGCTGGAGCCGTGGTCGCAGGCGCGCCGGCTGCGCATGATACACGAGGCGCAGCGCAGCGCCGCGCACGCGCCGCACGTGGGGTGAGTACCGCACCAGCAGGAGGCGGGCGCGTGGTCGCCGCCCCCCACCGCACCCCCGTCATACCAAATTTCAGCATAATCGATTCTGTGGTTTAGGCGTGAGAGCATAACAAACAAACTCGCGTACAGATTTTATGCCTGTAGGTTTAACCGCATCTCGAACACGGAGTCTCTAGTCGTCTTAATGTCTGGTCTCAGCAGACTGAGCAGAGAGGGTGTCTGGGCATCGCCTTCGGGCCGCATGTCTCCCTATCGCCAGACTTCAACCTGTGCACAGCGCGCCTTCATCCTATGACTTAGTAGCTGTGCCCCGCGGTTTATTAGGGATATTTTCCCGCAGTAAAACGTAGCTTATGTGTTAATCCAGGGTATCAGCTAACTTCATATCAAGTTTATTAGAATCGCTACAACAGTTTAGATGCGAAGAAGTAACAAACTCACACACTCTTAAACTTTTATTATATTAGTGTGATGACATATTCACGACAAAAAGCATCCTAAAACCGACTCTAGGGACCAATATCTATACCGAAATTCAGTGGTAAAGGCTTGAAAGCGTAACAAACACTCATATACAAATTTCATCCCTGTAGATATAACCGCATCTCCAATATGGAGTCTCTAGTAGCCTCCATGTCTGGTCTCAGCGGGCTGGGCGGGGAGGGCGGGGTATGGGCGCCGCCCACGGGGCTGGGGGCGGGCGGCCCGCGCGCCCCGCCCTCCCCGGACTTCAACCCGTGGACTTCGCGGCATCCGCTACAGGAGTTCAAGGAGTTCATCGCCCACGCGAAGGACCAGTGAGTCGATGTTTGTTATTGTAGGGCTACGCGTGCATTGTCCATAGGTGCCAAGGCCGGATCCAGAGGGGGGGTCATGGGGGTCATGACCCCCCCCCTGGGCTGGGTCCATCTGTACCCACTTCACAATCTGTACCCACTCTGACTTGACTACGACTATATGACCCCCCCCCCCCCCCCCCCAGGCGCCAAAGCTGGATCCGCCCTTGATAGGTGCTGGCTGCTGGTTACTTGCTAATCACTGTAACCGCGTTTAAAGTAAAGCCAAACGTGTATTTTTTTAGTATAATCGCGAATATGATTGGACAAAAATTACAACTCAATTTGTAGCACTTTACAGGAAATCTAATAAACAGCATTTCAATTTAAGCGCCTTACATGAAAATATTTGGTCTTTTTACATGCTTGCTGGTCAAGGTTAAGCGTTCCAGCTCAAGCTGTTACAATCGCTGATACGATATTTAAGCAAAAAATCGCCCAATATTTGCAAAATCATGTTAGCATTTACCAAGTTTTGGAATTTGTGCACGATATCAGCGTAAATACCTATGAGTTTGCTAACATGTAAATGCGGCACTAACTTGCGGCACTTTTTGACACGACATTACTCATTGAATAAATCAGTCTTGAACGGGTTAAAAAAGCGTAAAGATAACGAAAACAAAAACATTACGTTTTACGTTTAGAAAATTAGTTAAAGTAGAAAATAACAGAAATTTATCCGTTCAAAAGTGTTTTATTGAATTACTTTAATTGCTTTCTTTGGGTTTTTGCACGTTTTTTTCTGTATGGGTTTAGTTCAGGGTGAGGCTTTTTTATTTCTCAATTGAAAATGGGCAATTTTCTGATTGGTTAAACATTACTATTTTATCCTATAGTCACCGAACGTTCGTCCTGACCGTTTTTTGCGAAGGAACATAATTTTGTATTTCTTCCTGTACAACGATACTAATCTTAAATAATCATGTCTGCCACAAATTAGAGATACATTGTTCTAATTTTCATCAAAAAACCGCCCACTTTATAACCATTTGGTCAGTGTTGCACTTACTAATGTATGTTTATAATAGAAAACATCAGGTGCCTTAAATACACGCAACTATTTTATATTAACAATATTCTTTTATCAGTAACCGGATATACTGGTTGCCTATCTTGTATTACGATCTTAGCACAAGTGATGTACGCGTAGCCTTATGTGACAGAGTCTTGGGGACTCGGTATCGATGCTATTATCTATTTATTTATAAGAAGCTGTAAATCGATACTGGTGTCGTTCTCTTAGTATAGAGTGTCTGCGGTTTAGTTCGTACTGTTTGTTTACGCACACGACAAATCATAAACTAATCGATCAACAAATTGAATTAATTGAAAAATCGTTATTACAAAGAGAGGAAGGCTTTGGACAGATGAACTGTAATTTCTGATGCAGTTTGAATGAACGCGCCAACTGCTGACTACAGTACCCTTAGTACGAGTTTTAAAATTGCGAAAACTATGATGGTTTTCGTGACCTTCGCACTCGTACTAAGGGTACTGATTTTATTGTTTTCGTTTCAATACAAATAAACAGTGTTTAAAATCTACCATTAAAGCATTTGTGTCTTTTTAAATTTTGAGTATATTTGGTTACTTTTCAACAAAATAGGCATAGAAACATAATTTACAATTACGAAAACTATGATAGTTTTCGTGAGCTCAAACTCATACTAAGGGTACATAGGGCCATTCGCCTAATGGAAATGCTTTGGAAAACGCTAACGCTTTTGATTTAATTTTATTATTTCTGACCGCCAAAGGTTTTCAAATACCTCACGGTCATTTTCTTTAATATTGTTTTTACCAATGCAAAAGAAAAAAAAAGCGCGAGGCATTAGAAAACCTCAGGCGGCTAGATATAACAAATTGAAATCGTAAGCGTTAGCGTTTTCCAAAGCATTTCCGTTATGGTAGACATACACACTACGAGAAATTGTTACGATTAAACTGAAGTCCGAACGGTACCGATAAATCGTAGCGTGTGTTATAAAACTGCACAGTTTCCTATACGTACGCCACGTACGATAAACTGTTCGGTTCGAACTGTACAGTCTGATCGTAACGATTTTTCGTAGTGTGTATGGCTAGGCTACCATTAGGCGAATGGCCCCGGTACGACTGTATAGCCAATCGTCGCAACGCACGACCACCCGCGCACCTAGTTTCCCCCCAATACATCTTCATTTAACGCGCGCGCAATAACGGTCCAAGCTTGAGTTTCGTGCCGCGACTTATAACTTCCCTCCTTTCATTCCGAACGATATTTGTTTGTATTTATTAAAGGTCTGCCGACATTTTTACACCTTAACATACATAAAATCACACTTATATGTAACAATTTTCAGCATAGTCTAAAAACAATTGCTGGCAAACTCATGGCAACACAAAAACACGTAAATAAGAAAATAAATAAAAAGTATTACACTAGCACTATAACTAAAGAATATTTAATACAATTCTTCCATTCGTCTATACGCCTGCAACAACCCACTCACCACACCAATATCATAAATAACTATAACATATTCAAAAAACTTTAACTAAACTAAAAACTAAATCAAAAATGCATTAAAACATTAGGTTAAATGGATTTTATATTAAACTAGCTGTGCCCCGCTGTGTTACCAGCGGTTTATTAGGGATATTTTCCCGCAGTAAAACGTAGCCTATGTGTTAATCTAGGGTGTCAGCTAACTCCATACTAAATTTTATTAAAATCGCTCCAGCCGTTTAGACGTGAAGAAGTAACAAACATACACACTCACATACAAACTTTCGCCTTTATAATATTAGTGTGATTTGGTTTATTTGTCCAAACTGCATTCCAACTGCATCTGAATAGAAATTTCGCAATTTGAATTTGTTTAGTCTAGACTCTTTCTCTGCTATAAATAACTTATTATTTGATTACTATCGATTACATGCAGCTACTACGATGAACTATAGATTTCGAATGCTAATTTTGATATGTATTTATAAAGGCTTGCATATTATATCAACTAAATTAATCGTCTTAATGCTCTTGAAATTGAGTCGTATAGTATCAAAGGCGGCAAAGTAGGGCGAACCAAATATTTGGCAAATCAAAAAAAAACTGTTTAGTCTCGTCTTTAAGGGAGGATAATATATCGAGCCCTTACCGCCAAATTATCGTAAGCGACACTCGCCAAATTATCGTACACGACACTTTTGTCGAAATGCGTTTTTTTTTTTTTCTATTTTTATTTCCCTCTATTCTTCCCTCTATTATATTGTAACGGTGTTCTTTTGGAGGGAAATATCAACAGAGATGGGTCCGTTACGGTTTAAAATATTAGTTTCCACAAAAAACGCATTTCGACAAAAGTGTCGCTTACGATAATTTGTCGAGTGTCGCTTACGATAATTTGGCGGTAAGGGCTCGATATTGACATTTCACTACGATTTGTAGTTATGATGAATGTCAATTATAAAAATCCTCCCTTAAAGACGAGACTAAACAGTTTTTTTTGATTTGCCAAATATTTGGTTCACCCTACTTTGCCGCCTTTGATACTATACGACTCAAATGATAGTATTCACGACGATAATCAAATAAGGGTGTGAATTCACAAACTGTGCGAAACTAAACTTGTTTTGATACAAGTGAATGTTTGTTTTATTTTTGTTTTAGCTGATTAACTTATTGCATGTATTAATTAAGATAGCACTTGTCTCGTTCGCACTGAGCGTCTTCGGTGTTGCTTTTGGTGGAGTGTAAGAGTTGTGTTGTAACTGTTATGCACGTTAAATTTAACATAATGTGTTTTATGTACATCAAATAAAATTAACATAAATCTGTTTGTATTATAATAGGGATGATGACTATTTTTTTTTCTTCGTTTATCAGGTAGATTATCAAAAGGTATTGGACACGTATTTTTTCTTTTTTCACATAATATAAACATTACAGAGATATATTGATTTAAAAAGTTGCATGACGTCACGTTTGAGTACACTTATAAGTGAAAATTCACTCAAAAGTGACGTCACGAGCCCCTACTCCTAAACTTTGACGCGCTATAACTTTGTCATTTTTTGGTTGATTGCCCAAAGAAAAAATACGTGTCCATTATTTTTTGATCATCTAACTGACGGACTAAATAGAATTTCGTTTACTGTACCCCGTCATCACCCCTATTATATACAATGTTACTTCGCAGCTCGCGCATATTTAAATAACATATTAGTTTTGGAACATATTTTAAGTATAATAATTACAACAGTTGCTGAATAATATTAATGAACTAAAGCTATAAATAAGACAGTGCTTATTGGCTTTTCACTAATTTATACTCAGGACACTAATCGATTTGAAAAATGTTTAGGTTTTTATTATTATAATTATGTTTTACACAGAAGAGTTTTGAGTAATTTTTAGAGATGGGCCGACGAGCCGCCGACTAGTCGGGAAAGACGACTATTCGGCATCGTTTATAGTCGGCGACTATTCGGCAAAACATGCCGATTATAATCGGCTCATAACAATCAAATAAAACTCAAAACTTATGCTTGTTTAGAATATTTAAAACAGTATCTAGAATATGAATCTGTCAGTAATTCAGATAACTTAACACAATGAATATCGCACAAAACTAAATAGCAATGGGAAGTAAGTATGTATTCATGGAGTATAATCTTAAGTGCTAGCGAGCGAGTCTTAAAGAAGTTCATAGGTAATTTTTTTTTCCTTAGAAGCAAATTGTGATGTTGGAACGTGAATATTTCGGCTCCATTTGGGAGACTCGTGTCGTGCGTGAGCAAGTCGAGTAGTGACGAAATATTCCGAACACCTTCCTAAGATAGGTATTAGAATGATCTGCATTGCAGAATAGTCGGACGTCTAGTCGGCAATTCGATAACCGGTTAGTCGGCAAATACTATAGTCGGCCCATCTCTAGTAATTTTCCATGCCTTTGCAGTATCATAGAGATAACTAATGATTTTGATTTTATATGTGATCTAACAATCCTTCGATTACTAAGATCAACTCACAACAGTCTACAGTTTAAATCTTCTATTGTTACGCTTAAAGATAT